AGTCGCGCTACCTTAATAGAGAGAAGAGGGTAACATGAGGATTTGATTCGGGAGGAGGGAAAAAAGGGCACTTCATAGCTCTCTCTCACCAGGAGGGCAGCTTTGCTCTGCAAAAAAAAAACACCTCAGACAGATAAGCAACAGACTTCAGACATCACAACATAGATACTCCGATAGGAAGGCGGGGGGGGGGGGGGGGGGGGGGGGGGGGGGGGGGGGGGGTCTTGGATCCTGTTTCCCCAGCGAGAGCAGCCATGTACGGCGCTCAGCCACTGTAGCCACAGGTGGGAGGGAGATCTTGGGAGGAGCGCAGAGCACATTGACTCCTGCAGGTTGATGACCTCGCCAGGCTGAAGCCCACCAATCCGAAGGCGGGGCAGGGGGGGTAGGTCGGGTTTTCACAGCATCCGTCTGCATTCCTTCGTGGGGGTTTGTTGTTGGCATCTCAAGGCTGCCATGGCGTCAGATTCGGATAACAAGACTTTGTTTGGGTCAGGCTGAGATAATTTTCCTCTCTGCCTTCAGTCTTTAACTGATCATTCAAGTCCTCCAGTGAAGCCAGTTTAGGTTTTTAAACATGTCCACACCGTCCGGTGACCCTCTCCGAGATGACATCCATTTTGCGCACTAATACCGGTATCGCAGCTAGAACATTGTCCTGCTTACGATTCACCTCGAGTAACGTCCCAGTCTGTGAGGTCTCCACACGGACGGTGCTTTCCGTGGGTGCGGGTCGCCCTCCAATCGCTCCCATCTTCCCAAATTTCCAGAAAACCAGATATCCTCCCACTCCAATCAGGAGAAATCCAGTGATCATCAGGCCGAATATCCACACGTCTTTGACGTCCTCAATGGACAGCTGGGAGAGGCATGCGATCTTCCACTCCCTCCAGGAATCCATCATATATCCTGCCGGGTGTGTCCCTTGTGGGCAAGTGGGAGTCCCCTGCTCCGTTCACCTTGTTAGTGGTTTCATCATCCATAATAGTTGACGCACGTCTCAGGAAACAGATCTTTGTACTAAATTAAGCTTTACAATAAACAATGTAGAAAGGGTAAGAAAAGGGTCTGATTAATTTTTTTATCTTTCCTCTTTTATAGTCGAGTCGAGTTGGTTTCTCTGTATCTTCACAACTAAGAAGGCAAAGTTTAATGTAAGCAGGGGTCCGTTCACCGGATATTTCCCTCTTTTGTTTGTTTTTTGATGGAAAAATCTCAAAGCTGTTGGTTAGGGTTAGTTGGTCATTCTGACAGACTGGAATTACATCGAAATGACGTTCATTGTGCCACGGTTATATAAGTAGAACATAAGTTTCTTCTAGTATCCGCTGGATGTTAGTGCCAGCTTCCTTTGAGGGCGTAGAAATCTACGTTGTTGACCATTTCTGAAAATGCTGATCCCTCGCCTGCTTCACAAGTTTATCCCTTAAGGGAAGCATTCGTTGTCCTTTTTTATGCTGCTTCACCTCCAGCTGTGGTTCCCCCTAGCAATGCGAGTCATACACCTAAAATGGCGCTTGGGGGGTTGTGGTTGCCAGGCCAAAGACTGATTAAACTACTTTAATAATGATGTTATTGAAACAGTGTTGTGTAAGTGTGTGAATAACTGGGAGCACATGCATCGGTTTAATGTAATAAACGGGGACTCATCAGATCTCCTTGTACGTTAATGACTTAGCAGTGACACCGATTAGCCTCGTGTTGTGTTGCTTTCCCAGCTTCCTTCCTGCCTTGTTGTTTGTATTTGATGCCGACTCAGAATCAGGAAACCTGCGTTTTCTTAGCCGGTAAAAACGTCCATTAAGCTGAATCGTCCAGATGTGTTGCAGCGGTTCAGTGTGTATAAAAACTCTCCAGCTGTGTCTTTACTCTCAGGTTTATTTGTGCTGTTTGCTCTCCGTGCAGACGCGCTGATGCTTTGGCGTCTAACCGGAGTCCAGCTCTGTTTCTATCAGCGGAGGCTTTACCCTCGCCGGTCACCCCAGCAGCTCCTCAGCTCATCATTCTCCTCACAAAGCCCACAGCGACCCGGCCAACACCACGATAACAAAATCCACTCGTGCCCAACGGCAATTCATCCCCCACCGACCCACTTGTTTTCTCAGTCTAAGTGTGATTTAAGACCTGCAGGAGTTCAGGAGAGCAGAGACCACCTCAGACCTGCTGCTAAACTTCATCCATCATCAAACTCGGGTGGACCATTCATTTGCATCCACGGCATTTTCTCTCAATCGCTCTTCTGATAAACTCTTGTGCTTGTGGAGTTGTTTTGGTACCACGAGGAAGCTGAAGCCGATGCATAATGCATGTGTTGATCGTGGTGAATTACAAAACCACGTCTTTACCCAAACGTTTAGTGTTACACAAACAAGCTCCCAACTTGAATCATTTGAATAAAACTGTATAATTTCCTCTGTTACCGCCACAGGTCTGTGACGTTGTATTTTCATGCACCATTCACAGCTTTTCGCTTGTAAAACGGGTCCAAAAGGACCATTTATAGGCGCTGACACAAAGAGCATTCATCATCAGAGTCATTTACTCCAGCCAGGTTTAAAAAGAGCGTGAAGTGGATTATTCACTGACATGTTAAAGTGGCTTTCTGCAGCCACAGAGGTCCTGCTACAGCGCCGGGCCGTAGGAAGACTCAAACTAATGTGTCTTAAGCCCTCCGCTTGTGCCAGTAGCTAAATAAGCCCGAATGCTTCTCCACAACGCTGACAACCCCCACAGTGGAGAGCGGTGAATGTGAGGAAGGCTGTTGTAAATAGACATTAATTATTTTGTTTGTATTTGTGAGCGGCTGCTGATTCTGGAACAGTCCAGGTGTCCACTTTTACTGAGCTAAAGACCTGGCCTCGGGGGCTGACTGACTGAAACTTGGCAAACGAGATTTTCAGTCGATTCTCTAAAAGATCAAAAGTTTTATTGTTTTCCAAAAATCCAAAACCGACACGGTTTGACCACCAAGTTGACCGTTTTCCCTCAGGTTTACCTTTGGTGTTGATTTTATGATGAATGATGATCGACCTGCAGTAGTATAGCACCTTTGTGACTCACAAGACTCCAAAGTGCTTTACATTCACCCATCACTGATGGTGGTATCAAACATGCTGTCTTACTAGGATTAATCTCTGAAATTATGTTTGAGTAAAAAAATTCTATGTCATGAATTAAATGTCTAAAAAAGGCGAGACTATTCTTCCATGTTCAAGCGGCCCATAGAGTCCTATTCGTTTTTGGGCAGCAGAGGGGGCCATGGACCATGGCTCCGGCTTCTCTAAGGTGGCCATCACTGGAAAAAGACCATGAGACCTACTGACCATCAGCACATTTGTGTCGATTCTCGGTCATCCATCTTGGGGTTTACTTGCAAACGGTTGGACGTTTTTCCTTGAAGACGTTTCTCTCCTCGTCCAAGAAGCTTCTTCTTGTGTTGGGAGTAGGGGGCCTAAAAGGTGTGGTCTGAAAACATGCTGATGGGGCATGGCCCCTCCCTCTCTTCAGCGCCTTGATTGTGTCGTTGGTGCTGATGATCTGTTTTGGTACTGTCTGGATTCTGTCTGGGATTCAAGGGAAGGCTGCACAATGGGTGTTGGGAAGATGACTGAAGCCACCTCCTCTCTTCAAAGTTGGTTTTCCCCGTCCAAAAGGTGTCCACGATTGTCTTCAAAGAGTGACCTTTGTCCTTGAGGTGTAGATGGGCAACTTCTGGCTCTTCTGCCTCGTGTCATCCATCAACCGTTATCTAGATTACAGTAAGGATGTTGCACATCTACATCACCACCAGGTGTGTGCACCCACCTGGTGGTGAGCAGTAGGGGGCACCTGGGGCAGCAGTAGCCCAACAGGTTGAGCAGGTTGTCCAGTAATCGGAAGGTTGCAGGTTAGATCCCGGCTCCGGACAGAGAACTCTGCTGTTGTGTCCTTGGGCAAGACACTTAACCCTCCTTGCCTGCTGGCGGTGGTCAGAGGGACCGGTGGTACCTGTGCTCGGCAGCCTCGCCTCTGTCAGTGCGCCCCAGGGCATCATCACCATCAGTGTGTGAATGGATGAATGATACACTGTAGTGTAAAGCGCTTTGGAGTCCTTACTCTGAGAGGCGCTATACAAGTGCGGGTCATTTATCATCCATGTAGCCAGTCACCCACCTCCATCAGACTGGAAAAACAACCCAAGGATGATGTTTTTCAGTCATGTGACATGTCTGATGTTTGCAGCCTGTCGCGTTGCCGTGAGTTTACCTTCTCCAACACCATCCTACAGGTGTACCGAGGCCTTTATTATCATTTCTGCATCGCCGCCTTCACTTGTCAGCTCAGCTGACGGCGTTTGCTCTACACTGACTCTTTATGTCACAGGACTGTTATCAGACTTTCCGCTCCCAATTTCGCCTGAGCAGCGAACAAATCTGCATAGTATAGATCAAGGACAAACTACTGAGAGCGCAGCCAGTCAGTGGTGATAGCAATCACTCGTCTCATGACAGAGAGACAAACAAGATCCACATCGGTGTGCGCTTTAGCTTCCTGCTCCTGCGTTTTTTCTCTGATCAGTTTCAGGTGATTAAGGCGAAGGTGAGCAGTCGGTTTCCAGAACTTCAGATAACAAATCTCTGATTTGCATAGATCTGCAGATGCAGCAGGTGACGGTTGAGCTGCGGAGGCGGCTGATTTCAGTTGGTGTGTGAGCATGGCGCTAACAGTAACTGGGTCATTGTTCCTACTGTATCACAGCCAGCCCAGTGCAATTACTTAAGGTGGTGGAAGTCACACCTGGTTTACAGTCGCACCTTGTGTTAGACGTTGTCATAAACCGACGCACTTCCCCTTTTATTTCTGAGTTGTGTTTTCCTGAGCTGTGGATTTAAGTTTGGCGTCCTACATAATGCTTTAAATCTAGCCGGGAACCTGAAGGTAGTCCTCGGCTCTGCGGTTTGTTGTGCTTTACAAACAAGTCGCTGTCTAAAGCTCGTCTCTTTCTTCCTCTCTTCATCCAGCGTCCCCACCTGGTCCAAACATCACGCTGGAGGGTCAGTACCACTGCCACCAGGGACCCGGGATCCCTCTCGACAAGCTCTGTGACTTCAGCACCGACTGTCCGCTCGGAGACGACGAAGGCGACCGTTGCCGTGAGTACAACGTGACGCACGAGTCTGACATCCATCTCTTTACTCGGTGGTGAGCTTGTTCAGCCGTGCTCCCGTGAGTCACCCGTAACGAAGCAACAACTGACCGTCTGAGTGTGCCCTCTGACAGACCCACAACAGAAACAGGCCCAGAACAAGTCTCCAGCGCAGATCTGCTTGGCTAGCACTTCTCACCCCTGAGATCTTCCACCGTTGTTATTTCTGTCTCTGCACATTTGTTTTCCGCGTTTCTCAGGGCTCAGAGCAAACGCCAGCCAAGTCTGCTGACATCTTTCTCACAAGTCCCCCAGGCTGTGTGTGTGTGTGTGTGTGTGTGTGTGTGTGTGTGTGTGTGTGTGTGTGTGTGTGTGTGTGTGTGTGTGTGTGTGTGTGTGTGTGTGTGTGTGTGCGTGTGTGTGTGTTTAGTGCTGCAGTCATACATTGGCATTCAGATTTATTGACACGCAGCTCAGAATTTATAGAAAACAATAATGATGCTGCGGCTTTTTTGCTCATATTAAACTAACCAGAATTAATTTGTTGCTGCCCGCAGTGCAGGTCAGCCTCCCATGCGCTGCTTATTAAAAGGATGCCCGCTCCCCTGTGTGTAGGTTTGCTAACAACGGGAGTTGAGAGATAAGAGCGTAACGATAGGGTGAAAATCCCGGCCAGGCACGGATCCTGTTTCTACTGCAGGAGGATTTATCAGCACTAATTGGCATGAGAGGCTAACCCGGGGGTGTAATCTTCATTTAAATGCAGTGTGTGTGTGTGTGTGTGTGTGTGTGTGTGTGTGTGTGTGTGTGTGTGTGTGTGTGTGTGTGTGTGTGTGTGTGTGTGTGTGTGTGTGTGTGTCTGTATCTGTATGTGTGTGTGTGTGTGTGTGTGTGTGTGTGTGTGTGTGTGTGTGTGTGTGTGTGTGTGTGTGTATGTGTCTGTATCTGTATGTGTGTGTGTGTGTGTGTGTGTGTGTGTGTGTGTGTGTGTGTGTGTGTGTGTGTGTGTGTGCTGATTTATGCTTTGCATCATGGAGGCAAAAGCGTCGTGTTCAGCACCAGCCGGGTATTACTGACCGAGAACTCTCACTAGCATTTGTGCACGTCGTCGAGCTGTACGGTGTCCTGTTTAGGACATTTTCAAACTGTGAAGACAGCATCAGGAGAAACAATCACATGAAGATCAAAAGTAAAAGGTCAGGATCGAGGAGACTAACAACACAGCGGCCCAAGGAGCAGAGGCATCAGGAGGACGGGTCCGATGGAAAGCGTCACCTGTCGGGTAAAGCCGCCAGGTTTATGGACTTCAGCTGAATGATGATTAAGAAGACACAATCTGTTCTGAGAGCTGACTTTTTCTTGGTACCTGGAGAATGAAGATGTTTTTCCCAGAGTTTAATCTGGACTCCGTGATGCAGAATGTTCGTCGTGTCAAAGGTCAGCCGTTGTGACTTTGAGGCTTTAAAAAAACTCAATTGTGGACAAAAACCGCTGAATTGGAACAAGTTAACAAACAAGTTGGTTTGTGAAAAAAAATCAAGTAAATTTGGACGTTTTCAGGACTTTTTAGCAAACTTTTGTGTTGAATTTTAGTCACAAAGTTCCTTAATTGTGTCGAGTTTTGTTTTGGATTTTTGTTGCACTGTTTTTCTCATTTTGGTTTCTTTTCTGTCTCACTTGAGTTTCATAGATCTCAAAACAGAATCAAAGTCCTCAGCATCTCCTGGACTCGCTAACTCATAGATCGAAAGGCTCAGAGTTCATGAAACTGCTCTGAGAGAACATCCAAGTGCGTTTCATGTAATAACAAACCCTTGAGAACACGTCGAGACCTTTTGGGAACTCTCTTGTGAACGATGGTTGAAGTTCTTCGTCTGACCACCCTGACCCGCTCATATGCATCTACTTCTGTACCTGCAGCTTCTTCACGGTTACCCCCCGCTGCCTCTCTCATACCCTATTCTCTATGATCCATCCACGAGTTATCTGCATCCAATTGGGTCTGTTTAAATCCTTTCTAAGCCCGGCCGAGGCTCATTAACAGGAAACCGCAGGAACAGACTCGGATGGAATCAGTCAGACGGATTCCTGACGTCTAAGGGAACCGTGTCTCTGAGGAGCACTCGTCTCACACGCCATCATCATGCACGAACACATCCTCCTCTCTCCGACAGTCCCAGCTTCCTCTGGTTGATCTCCGTCCGTCTGAATTCTGCAGACGTCCTGCCGCGCTCCAGCTTCACACTTTCCCTGTAACAACACGGAAACGCTGCTGGCATCAAAGCGCGGGGAAGCGGGAGTCTGAAGGGCGATGTGTGAGGGTTTTTAATTTACCCTCATCCGACCAGGAAAATATCTGGGTTTAAACACACGTTACTGTTTTTATTAAAGCACAAACGACAGAGGGTTGAAAGGTTAATGCAAGTCAGCTGAGCTTTATTGTTGTTGTTGTTGTTTACCCGAGGGTTCAGGGTGTGTTTTTAGCTACGTCCTTAGCAGAACTTGGTTTACTCCTTCACAATAAGAGCCTCCTAAATAGTTCATTAATGCCGTTTTGTTTTCTTTGAGTTTATTCACACAACAGAACTAATAAAATATGAATTATTTAACCTGCTATGGTTTGTATTTGTTATTCATCCTCTTAGAAACTGACTTTTAGGTGTTTTTCTGTTTTCTCTGAGCTTATTGAGGATTTCTCTTGCTTATAAATCATCTCAGGCTGGAAACCTAAATGTAAGCTGCAGCCGTGTCGACATATTCACAGTGTGACCTTCATAAATATTAAAGCGTCAGACCTTTGTGGTGGCGGTGGTGTATGCATGGCATGTTTTTACACGATGAAAGAACATCTGCAGAAGTTTGGCCTTCATGATCTCAGCTGGTTTAGATTAATGGCGTTTTTAAGACCCCCAAAGCGCTTTACAGAGATTCCATGATTCACTCACTCTGCTGGTGATGGTAAACCACATCGTAGCCACAGCGGCTCTGCGTCAGTCTGACAGAGACGAGGTCTTCCTTACACGGGAAGTCCTGCTGTGAAGAAGGGTACGGCTGAAGACCACAGAGCAGGTTCACACCTGCAGCAGCGACTCTGCGGGTCTTCAGGTCGGCCATCGTAACTATAGATGCTCGTTGCTCACTGGCCCTGGTGCACTTGGATATGAACGTCCAGCCCTTTAGCTCCTGATCACATGACAGCTTCGACACACCTCGCTGCTGAATTATAGCAACACGTGCATTTTCTTATCGTTAACAGAGTTATGACGGAAGAAGACTAACATCCTTAAATGCCGGTACTTCCATCACTGCAGCCAGTTCAGGGGAAAAGTCTCACCCAAGTACAGAGCCGCAGAATTCCCTAAAGGGAGCTGGGATCGAACCGACAACCCTCTGAAACCTGGACAACCCGCTCTACCTCCTGAACTTCTGCTGTGTGTGTGCGTGCGTGCGTGTGTGTGTGTGCGTGCGTGTGTGTGTGTGTGTGTGTGTCATGGTGGATGGCTGCTTATACTGAGCCAGGATCCTCTGGAGGTTTCTTCCTGTTAAAAGGGAGTTTTCCTCTCCACTGTCGCTACATGCGTGCTTAGTATGAGGAATGCTGTAAAGACTCTGACACTAGTCAGTGACTCGATGCGACCTGCTGGGTTCCTTATATAGGAAACGTTTAACTAATCTGCATAATAAGCTGAGCTCAGTGCGCTGATGATTCAGTTGGAACGTGTACTTTGTGAACCGGTTGCTACAGAAATGAACTGAATTCATTTAAATTCATTATTACTTCCTTTTTAGCTTCTGATTTAGTGTTGGGGTTTTTATATTTATTTGAACCTTTTGGGCCACCATAGAAGCCAGTAAGGCATTAAAAGTTAGCAAAAGTAAGAGCAAAATACTTCGACACACAAATGCTTCTGAGATTAAACGAGCTTCATAATCCATCAGCCAAATTATAAAATGTTTCTGTGGCTGACTTTCCCAAACTTCACCGTTTTCTTTAGGTTTTCGATCTTGTCACACTTCATTCCCGGTTTCCGTCTACAGGTCCCGATGGTTTGCATCCTGCACGCTTTTCTTTTCGCTGTCACTCAACTCCTCCTCTGTCCTCTGTATTCTCTCCCATCTCCCTCCAGGCCGCTTCCTCAACGGCAGCTACTGCTCCTTTGAAGAGGGCGAATGCGGCTGGCAGTCGTTTGCAGGCCGGAGTCTGTCCTGGAGGAGAGTTCAGTCAGCAGCTAAACCCGGCAGACAGAGCTGCCCGTCGTCAGGTTCGTACCTAATATTATCGCATCAACACAGTGCAGATCAAACGAAGCACCGACTCGCCCGCTGGTTCGAAAAGTGAAAAGAAGTCGGCCTCTAAGCAGAAAATATAGAGAATTTCAACCTTTAAAGTAACAACCTTGAACATGTCTGTCTTGACTTTGCGGATTTGGGAAGAGTGAGACTTCTGTGCCAGACACAATATGGTGTTTGGGTCAGAGGTCAGCACGGTGCTGCAAACAACCCCCCCCCCCCCCCCCCCCCCCCCCGGGGTGTAAGAGACGACACGCTCCTGCTTTCAGTGTGAGTGCACTTACACGAGTGGGCCAGGACTTTTAAAGGTTCTGTGAATAACTCTGGTCTCTGGAGCTGTTGGATGTATTGTTTATCTGAGCTCACACTGACCTAAAGTGTGTGTGTGTGTGTGTGTGTGTGTGTGTGTGTGTGTGTGTGTGTGTGTGTGTGTGTGTGTGTGTGTGTGCGTGTGTGTGTGTGTGTGTGTGTGTGTGTGTGTGTGTGTGTGTGTTTGTGTGTGTAGGTGCAACCTTCACAGTGGAGGGGGGTCAGTCTAAAGGTCAGAGAGGCTCCGCGTTGCTGAAGAGTCCTCTCTTCCCCCCTCCTCTAAGAAACTCCCCGTGCACGGTGAGTCCCGTTATGGAAACGAGCTCTTTACACTAAAGCAGCGAGCCTTGCTGTGTTTTTCTGCATTTTGGGGGTAATTAGGCTTGCCCTAAAGCTTGGTTTATGCTTGACACATTCACTTTCCGCTTGGTGATGCGGCTCGCGGATGGAACGCGCTTCACAACTCGCAGCGTTTATGGTTCGTGCGGCTTTTCTCTGCGGTGAGCCAATATTCTCCCAAACTGTAGGGGGCAGCATGGAGCTCTACGGCATGCATCCAACACTACACCATAGTAGAAGTAGAAATTACTGTTTACAACATGGCATTCCAGCATTTTTTAACAGCGTCCTCGTCTTTTCCGACAGTGCGAGCTATTTCTCTCCAAGAATTATTAACAACATGTTGATCACGGTGATCTCTGAGAGCTGAATCATACAAATGTCTGTATTTACGAACCTCTGCCATACTAGTTCTTGCCAGTCCGCCATGTTTTTCCACGTCTGACCGTCCGCGTGGTTAGAAAATTTCCTAGGTGCGCGGTGCGGTAAGTTTGGGCCGTGCGGAGGCGCGGTGGAGGGGCGTGGTTGTTAAAATGATGCAACTTTTCCGCGCGGAGCCGTGCGAACCTCGCGGACGCGTCAATCATAAACCAAGCTTAAATAAGGAGTCTTCCTGGAAGTGAAACTAAAAGACTTCTCATTTTAAATCAATAAAGATTTTTTTATTCCATGTTTTTAAAGGTCAAAGCCAATTTAGTTGGAGATGATAAAAAATAGGCGGATAAACTAACATCCTCTAGTAACCTGGCTGGCAACTCTGGGGGGGGGGGGGGGTAGTTTAAACTTTAAAGCCTGAAACATGAAATATAATTTAAACTTTTTATCACTTAATCTTAATCTAACAACCATAATAAACCAGATGACAAAGCCATGGCTTCTTGGGAGAGCAAACATAACTCTGTTTTAAGATGTTTATGAACATTCCCGTGCTTTGCTGCAGTGTTAGCTCTTACAGACTTGGCAACCCCACGGTTTTATTTTAATTAGCCTTAATTCAACCAGATGAGACTATTGAAACCTTATTCTCATTTATGATGATGATCTGGCCAAGAGGCGGCAGCAGCAGGCGCATATTTAGCTTTACACCAAAGATAAACAGATTTCGGTTTCACGGATTGTAAACAAAGACTACGTCCCTCTTTTGCTTTTTAGACAGGAGAAAAACTGACGAGCTGAGAAGGAAATCTGTTTCTACGTAACCTTCCTTCCATCATGATTAAGACTGTTTTGTGATTATTTCAATGTAAAATTCTTACTTATTGCACCTTTAACTTTGATTTGCTAAATAGCTAATTTCCCTCTGGCTAGTTAACTAGGTATCTTCAGCAATTTAGCTAGTTTTACTTACGTAATTTAGAGCATTTCTCTTTACTAACTTCTGTAACCGGTTTAGCTAACTTTTCTTCTCATTACCCTTGGTTAGCTTATTAGCTTTACTCACTCAGATCAGCTAATTGAGTTCAGCTAATGCTGCTAGCTTAGACGGTCCAGCTTATTTTTTATTAAGCTGATAAAGCTCATGATATTTTGTCCAGTTGTTCAAAATGTTACCAAGAACAGAAAATAAGAGTTTAAAGAGCACATTACTCAGCACTATGAAGCCTAATAATTATGAATTAGCAACGATAATTAATATTTGTTGATATAAATAAGTAGTCCTAATACACTAATCATTTAGTCATCTTTAAATTAATTTGTAGCCTTAAAGGAAAAGCTGTTTTGTGGTTTCATCTTGTTTTAACAGCATCCTGGGCTCCTCCTTCAGTTGTTTTCTTTGGTTTTTACTCATTTCAAACAAAAGGAAATCTGTAAAGCTGATTTAGTGTTTAGGACGTCTGACAGTTGTTGTTGTTTCCCAGCTTCAGTAGCTTCAAACTCTTGATTTATTCATTAATATAAAAACCTGAAAAAAGTGAAGAATTAGTCAAACCCGGGTTGTAAAACGAGCTTTAAGATCCCAGAAATCCCTCCTCCAGCGAGTCGGTTCATCTTAGTTGATGCTGTGCTACACAAGTTCAGACGTGTTTTATTATTCCTCAGCACGGTGACCATTGACCTTTCTGCATATTTACTTTGCACATTTGATACGCTGGAGGTGAGGGAGGTTAACACATGAGAGATTTGAGGATCAGGAGGTCAGGGAAGGAAGATTTAAAAAGATGAAGGTGCCATGGAGTTAGACTGAAGAAGAAGCGATGAAACAAAAGCGTCTGCATCAGATGGGAATGAAAAACAGGAAGATAACAAAAATTATTACGTTTCTGCTTCTCTGCTGTTTGATGTTTGCTGCGTCAGCGCTTCGTGGATTAGAGAGTCAGAATTAAAGCTCGAGTCCTCCTGAGGACTGGATGGGTTCTGGTTCGGGTCAGGTTCTGTTATAAACAGTCCTAATGCCGTAACAGTGACCGGGTTTAAACCAGGCTCTGAGCTGCAGGAAATCATTTACATGACTAAATCCTGACCGGTTAGTTAAACTGGTTTAGACTGGTTACCTTCTCCATTCTGACATAATCCTGAGTGAGTTCTGATGCTCGGTTCATCTTGTTGCAGTTTTAGGTCCCTTCCTTCCAGGGCTTCTTTTTGAGGCGTATAAAACAACTTGGTGTCTTGTTTTGGGTTTTGGACCTACAGGTGCGGTTCTGGCTGTGCTCTGGAGGCCTCCAGAGGAACTCCTTGTCTCTGTGGATTGTGGAGAACAGCACAGGACCTGACGAGCAGCGCAGACTGTGGCATTTAGCCGGCGAGTCCAAACCCGAGAGAGGGTGGAGGCTCGTCACCATTCCTCTCTACGGGCTGGCAGACTGGTACGACAAATCTTACGTTCACTGTGTGTAGATCGTCTCTAGGGCTGCTCAGCAGCCATGAAACATGGGATCATGACTCTCCCGGGTCATGCTGACTGTCCTCCTGCTCCTCCTGGATCCCTCAGGTGTCCTGGGTCAACCTCTAAGTCAGCTTCATGGACGTACAAACCTGTAGAGTAGCATTAGTGTCCCAGCCTGGTCAACCAGGACAACGAGAGGCTCAGCACTCCTGATTTTAATCAGTAGGGAGAAGGTGGACCGGAGCAGGAGAAGGTCAAGGCCTTGAGGACCAGGGTTGGACATCCAGCCTTCATGCTGGATCTGCTTCGATCACGTCAGAGTTCAGCTCAACCTTTCTACTGAGTTATTGTCGCTGTGGCGGCCATGATGGATCCTCAACACTCACTTTTATTATGCTAACAATTAGAAACAGGCAAAAAGACTTCTGGGTTTTTTATTTCCTTCAGAGAAGCCGTCTGACGTTCCTTCAGACAAAACTCGTATAAAAGGAGTTTGGGTGTTTTTCACTCCACAGACTAATGAATCCCACAGGAAGCTTTCCTCCGGACTGTCCATGTGTGCAACTGAGTCCCACTTGTCTGACCAAGTGAATAGAAATTAGCCCACAGAAGTCTCTCTACTTTCCTCCCAATTAGCCAATTGAGCAAAGCCCCCCCCCCCCCCCCCCCAGAAGAGGAAAATGAAAACCAATCAGAGAAAAGCTTCATTTCTGTTTGTCTAGCTGAAGGTTTCTTTACTGCTCCGGCTCCACAAGAGTGATTAATATTTGATTCCCGGGTTATGTAGTCAGCTGTGCTTGTGCTTTTGATTAGAGCGGGGGGGGGGGCTTTGCTCAATGACCTTTTCTAGAGCTTAAATAGAATCAGAGGAGTCGGTTAAAACACAGCAGGAAGGAAGCAGCAGCAAACCGGAGTCTGGATCAGCTGGTCCGGTCCTGCAGCGACGCTGTACGGCTTTTTAAACATTACTGTATTTAACTAGGAGATCCCTAAACAAGTCAAACAGCCTTTTACTTTTTTTCCAGAGCTGGAAGGTTTTTTTTATTCCCCACAATTGAGACGGAGATGTCAGGAAGCACAATTCTTCCTTTCCTTAAACCACTGAAACGTTTTCCTCGTTCCTTTTCATCCAGAAGCCATTCAGCCAAGATGTGTGCTTGTTTTATAAAAAAGCTTCGCCTCTTCTCAGGTTCTGGCTCCAATTCAGTGCAGAAGATGGACCTGGACCCGGTTCAACCGTCTCCCTCGACAACGTCTCCTTCAGCATGGACTGCTTCTTGGCCTGTGAGTATTTTCACATGTTTGTTCTGTCAGGCAGGTTTGAGTTACAGGACTCCGTTGTTGCCAGCAGAATTAACTCGAAACATTCTTAAAGTTAGGATGACTTCTCCTGGGGCCATTCACACGTGTGAGGGAAAACTTGTCCGGACCATACAGGAGTGTGTTAACATCATTCCAGGTCAAAGGTCATTTCTACAGCAGAAAGACGGTTCCCTCACAGGTAAAAACATTTAAAGCAGCTGCCAGAAGTGGGCGTTGCAGCAGGTTCACCTCAAGGTCAAAGGTAAAATAAAGATCTCCAACTAAGGCTCTACGGAGGCCCATGAGGTTCATCGTTTCTCTCAATCAATCAATCAATCAATTAAAAGATACTTTATTAGTCCCAGAGGGAAATTAGAGTTTCAGTACACACAATTCAGAGATCAGACATACATGGGCAAGACACATGACAAGAACTGGTGACTGTGGTCATTCGCAACCTGAGCCGCGCTACCTTAATAGAGATAAGAGGGTTACATGAGGATTGGTTCAGGTGGAGGGAAAAAGGCTCTTCAGAGCTACCCTCCACCAGGAGGGCAGCTTTGCTCTGCAAAAAAACACCTCAACAGATATGCGACAGACTTCAGACATCACAACATAACATGAGACTCCAATAGGAGGGGGGGGGGCTGGGATCCTGTTTCCCCCAACGAGAGCAGCCATCTACGGCGCTCATCTGCTGTACAGTCACAGGTGGGAGTTGAAGTCCCCCAATCCAAAGGTGGGGGGGGGGGGGGGGGGGGGGGTCGGGTTTTCACAACATCTGTCTGCATTCCTTTGTGGGGGTTTTAGTTGCTTGCCGCTACCAAGGCTACCAGGGCGTCAGATTCAGATAACAAGAATTTGTTTGGGTCAGGCTGAGATAATTTTCCTCTCTGCCTTCAGTCTTTAAACTGATCATTTCCAGTCCTTCTGTGAAGCCAGTTTTGGGTTTTTAAACATGTCCGGTGACTCTCTCCGAGATGACATCCATTTTGCACACTAATACCGGTATCGCAGCCAGAACATTGTCCTGCTTACAATTCACTTTGAGTAACATCCCAGTCTGAGAAGTTTCCACATGGACGGTGCTTTCCGTGGGTGCGGGTCGCCCTCCAATCGCTCCCGTCCTCCCAAATTTACAGAAAACCAGATATCCTCCCTCTCCAATCAGGAGAAATCCAGTGATCATCAGGCCGAATATCCACACGTCTTCAATGTCCTCAATGGACAGCTGGGAGAGGCATACGATCTTCCACTCCTTCCAGGAATCCAGCATATATCCCACCGGGTGTGGACGTGTGGGAGCCCCCTGCTCCGTTCTCATTGTTGAAAAAATCTTATCGATCGCGTTGAATGACCAGTTTATCAAATCCGTGGTTAGTAAAAATAGAGTTTTTCAGAAGAAATACAGAGAAGCGCTCTGTGGGCAGACAGGACAAAGAGCCTTGGGGAAAAAAAGATAAGGGAGCGAAAGAGGGAAGTGTCTGTACTCCTCGAGTGCCAGGTTTTGGACTCTTACTTCCTGATATCTGGACATCTCTCCTCTGATTGGCTGACAGCAACACGACTCTACCACTGACTCTGTTTGCTCTGCAACGGTGATGTTTTATCTCCACAAATAACACAAGCCTGGAGGAGTTCTGCTGTGTGGTGGAGGAACTAATGCTTCTAACAACCAGCAACAGCCTTCCCCGTTGTGAGCCAAGGTGGAGTCCATGAATGTTTAGTGACAGTGTGACGTAGATCTGTGAGGCTTTTCTAATCCTAGAGTTTCACCGTCTGTTTTCTGTCAGATGCTACTGCAGATCGGTCTAGGAGACTATCTTCATGATCAGCCTGCATGAAACACTCAGAGTGGCCCGTTAGTATCAGAAATAAGATTTTAAAAGGGTTTTTTTTGTGTTCCACACCTTTAAAGCTTATTAAGTTATTTCATTATTAATAATTTTCACAGTTAAATTCCAACTTTTTAATACGCTTTAGATGTTTAGATGTACATGTGAATCTTTGCAGCTCTTATTTTGAAGGGCTACAAGTAGGAGGTAAAATCTGAACCTCAACCATGGGAAAGCTATCCATCACGTCGAATGAAAACTGAACGAGTTCGAGAGCATGACGGAAGTCACTTCCTCCTCCTTTTTTTAAATTCATCAACACACACCTTCTGGGTAGATGAGACCCATAATGCACGGTGGTGGAGGGGTGATGATGTGGGCTTGTTCTCCAGAGTTCCTACAGAACCCTGTGGTAAGCTGCTGGATTCACTTTTGGGTGAATTTGACTAATTTTATAACCCAATGAAGATGAATTAAACATGCCATTCTCCCCAGAACTTGACCATCTCAGTCAGGACCGTATGAAGGAAGCCTTTTTCACGCTAGGCGTGATCTCTGTGGATCTGCAGCTCAGCAACGCTCCATGAAAATGTTTTAAGCCTCTTTGGACAGAAGCATCTGCCAGATACATGAAGATAAAAAGCCACACGATTACAACCCTTTAAATGCTCCATTTGATGTGTTTTAAAATGTCAGCTGCTGATTGGTGAGGCTTTCTGTTCCCGTGCTTAGAAAGGTCAAGCCTGGGTCACCTCTACAGATATCTTTGTGTTCTGACTGAGATGGTTTATTGGAACAAAAACAGGAGCGAGATGACAGCGGCGCAGGAATGAGAATGAAAGGTTAGGAGTTCAGCGCCTCCCCGCGTCTCTGCCTATCTGAGGGAGCCTGTTTGAACTGTGATGAGAATAGTAATGACTGAGCCTCTCTGGGCCTGATATAGCTCCGACAGGAGGAGTGTGTGAAAGTGGAGCAGCATATTCGGCTCTAAGGGACGAGGACGTGAGCGCAGCCCCCCTTCTCACTCGTTCTGCTGTCATCTGAAGCTCCCAGGTTAATTATTACACCGGTCCTACCCATGTTCTGCTGTGATGTCACACCAAAAACCGTCAGTAATCTATTTGCATCACCTGTAGATGTTTGAGATGAATACGGTGGGAGGAAAGTGACCCAGGCGAGCCGCTGTCCTCCTGCCTTACTGGGCCAAGGACTTTTTATTTACAGAGATGAGATTCTCTAGGAAATGTCTGTGCTTCATGTCCTCCAGAAGGTTCCCCGGTTCCCTCTCAGCAGATGGAGAGTTCTCCATCCATTACCCACGCCGCGCTCGACACGGTCCCTTTTTATCGCTTGTGTGTCCGAACGGTCGATGTGAGACGCTCTGAAAGACGTCGTTTCCAAGAGCGATTACTGTGGCTGATGAACATGATGGATCTCCGCGCCGTGACACAGCGCTGTAATGTCTTCTGGTGTGCCCCACTTCCCTGAGCTACGGTGGGATATACGGTTAGATGAGCCGCTGAGGCATCTGCTGCCCTTCAGCTGTTGGACCTGGCGGTCACTTTTAGCATTTTATTTGTATCTAGCATCGTTAAATTAGTTTATTGGGTTGTGCAGCGTGAGAACTTCATCCCCTCTCTCTCTCTCCTCTTTTTACATAAACTTATTCTCTTTTATGGCAACACAATCGCCCCAAAATCAGATTTACAAACATCAGAGTTAAATATTCATCTTTTTGTCTGCTGTACAAGCTGACAAAAGCATCATTTTACTAACAAAATCAGGCTTGTCTTTTCAAATATGGAGGGCCAAAAGTGCCACAACACAATAAAGCATTAAAACATTTAAATGTCATTAATTCAAATCTCAATTAACAGCATAAATATTTGATGAAATTCATCATTTATTAAATGTTTCATAAATAAAAAGTATTTAATTCATAAAATCACACAATTATGCCATACATGTTTTCTGTATGGAGTAGCAAGAGTGATGCAATTTGATAAATAACTGTGATGTCATCAACAATCTCCTCCCTGAGGCTGAACCTTACCGTGGTGGAGGAGTTCGGTCCCAGGAGCCATGTTGTCCCCTGGTTCGGTCTCCTATGGGGGGTTGGTCCAAGGTGAAGGACAGTTAGAGACTTTTATGAGTTTATCAGCAGAGTAGCTGGGGTTAGAAGCTAAAACGTCTGAGAACTGCTGCTAGAGACGTTTATTTGAAGGCTCCAGTCAGAAGGCTGGAAACAGACTTCTGTAGAAACATCTAAAACTAGGAAATCATTAAACCCGCTCTGACGAAAAGTTCAAGCTTACATTTGTTTTGGGGACATTTCTTCGTTACATCTCCATCCTGTCGGCCAAAATGCATTTAATTTAGTTTTATTCCCATAAACCCTTAATTCTTACTGCAGAGGAAACCTTCGACTGGTGTGGGTTTATTCAGCAGCCACCTGTCCTGGGAGTAGCTGGGTAGTAGCTGGGATGCGTCACAACAACCCAGTTTTCACCAGTCAGACTTCCACAAGCCCTCGGTGCAGAAGGGAGACGCGTGGGGCTAATTAAATCCTTTACCTCATACCAGGGGCCTCGTTTGTGAAATAATTTGGGATTAATTAGTTCTTTAGTTTCACTTTAACAGAAACCACGTCTAACAACTCGTTAATAAACTCATTTATGGGAATTTTCTTATCTCTGATACGGTTATTGTTTCAGATTATGAGGCTGATTTCTGCATCAAGACAGAAGTTTGTTTGGTAATTTTGTAGTAAATTCAATCAGTTATGATCAATTATCAATAATTATACAGTAAAAAGGTCAGAAATTACTTTTTTGTGTGTGTTTAGCTTTTTCATTGCCGGAGTTTTAACATCCCATTTATTCTTCTGGAAAGACAGGGGCGTGTCCAGATCTTTTAAAATGGGGTGGCCCATGTGAGGCACTACTTTGTGCATGGGTGGCACCAATGGTTATGCCTTTTTTTTTTTACCTCGAGCCTTTTGTGGACAATGAAAAGCCCATTTAAAGAGAATTCAGTGTGGTGGCACCTGGGGTGGCCAATCAGACTCCAAGGGTGGCATTTGCTACCCCAGGCCACTCCCTGGACACGCCCCTGTGGAAAGGTCTCAGTAAGATGTCCCACCTAAAGCTCCCCTCAGATCCACCATGTATCTTATTTCTGTGGTTAGTGGATTTGTAAACTGCTCATGAGTACATGTTTGTTTATTAATTACGTTGATTCTGATATACAAAACGATGCTCCTGGTCTCCGGGAACAGTTCTTAAAATCCAGATTTCCAGAATGCTTTTCCAGCATGAATCCAACAGCTTATCCATAAGAAGTCCTTCCTAACGTGTGGAAGACGGCTGAGTGGATTCTGCTCAGATTCACTGCAGACTGGAGATATTTAGCGACGTGGCTGGGTGGTGTCACGGTGCCCCGCCCCCCTGTGGCGAGCCCCTGATAGGCTCCAGGTAGCTTACAGCACCACACTAATGAACAGTGGCAGTCACGGCGACTGACGCCCTGCCCTGTGGATCCCGCCGCTCTGTGCTGGACCCGAACGAGCTCCTGTTCTCACCGCAGCGGAATACCAATGCTACGAGCTCTGCTGCAGCGTGCCGCCATGTTCAGAATAACAATGCCGCCCACTTCATTAGCAGCAGATGTAAACAGTGGCTGGAGCTCCTAAAGGTTCGAGTCTGAGCTACGTGGAGGACCGCAGCCTCTGGTTTCAGATCCGATCATGAACTCCATCTGTTTGAAAGCTCCGCAGCAGCCGGGCCTCAGTCATATTTATATGTGGATTACAGAGCGACGGAATGAGGTATTGATTTTCTAGCAGGCAGATTTTAGGAGTGCAGAGTGGAGCTTTTCAAAGCTATGAAGACAGAGTCGCAGCCAGAGCTCCTAGACTCCAGCGTTTAAATGTAAACACAAGATTAACGCTGAAAACGGCCTGAGATGATGGCTGTTCCTGCAGGAGAAGGTGGAGCGGGAAACCGCCACACCCTAGCTGTTCTGCACACGATGAGACGTCAGCCTCAGGTGACGGGGCGAGGAGAGGGAGCACCCCCCTAACCCCCGCCCCTAATGACGATGAGCCCGGTTCGTTCCCACCGAGGAGGAAGATGAGTCATCCACTCGTCGTTTTAGTCAGATTTCTGCTGCTGACACCCTGGAACCAGCGCCCGCTCATCAAGGGGTTACATCCAGCTGCAAATATTTACTCCAGAAGTGTTGGAGCCTGAGAAAAAGGAAGAAGCCCCTCATAAACCTCTAAATAATTTCTTCTCTTGTGTTTAGCCATCCAGGGCAGATCTGTGGGGAATATCGTGTATCTGCCGTGAAAACAAACGTTCTACTTCTGCGTCAGACGGCTGGAAACCGTTTCTCTTGTTGTGTGAAATGCAAATAAAGCTCAGAACGCGTGTTATCAGCCTCTCTGTGGGCTGCTCCAAGTGCAGAATTTAAATCTGTCTTAATATTTAGGTCATGCGAATATGAATCTTCTTTATTTACCGTTTATTGTCGGCACGCTGCACGTTTCTACACTAAGGGCAACAGCAGGAACATCTCTGGGTGGAGATGTTCAGAATCCACCGTCTGGAGGTCAGAATGTCGTTTTCTGGCTTTCCGAACAGCCTCTATATGGAGAAATGGTTTATATCTTACAGGATTGATAGGCTAACGGACAGTAGATGAAGCCAGGGCCCTTTAGACCAAGTGTGGCCTTTTTTTCCACAAAGTTTTTGCATTCTTTAAAAACCTTTATGTTCATATTTTTACTCAAATGAAGCAAACGTACCCAAGCCTCTTGTCTCATCGCTACACAGACACTTTTCTGCCATAAATTACAATCATTTAAATATTCTGTTGCGTTTTTGAAAAGGTCTTGTGGTCTGTGGGGTCTTTACACTTGGTTATTATGGTTATTATGGTTTGCATCTCAAAGAGTTGGGACTCCTCTGATTTACATCTAAATGTCAGCAGTCACTAACATTTCAAACTAGCAGTTAGCTCATCACTCCTCAGGGACATAAACCCTATTTCTCTGCACAGAGGCCACTCAGGGAACAGCTGGTAAAATGGTCACTTCTCCTAACTGTTACCCAGGCGCATTGGTGTGGTTCATCACAACCAAAGGAGGAATCTGCATATCGGGTTTTTTTTTTCTTCTGAATCGATCCTGGAACCTCATATGGACCCGCCGGGTCACGTGGAAGTGCTCCGAATCGATCTGTAGACTTTCAGATTTTGTGTACAGACACTCCGTGTGTTTGTTGTTGTCCGGCCGATATCGGACATTGATTTTTGTCATGGAAGCGGGGGTGTTCTCTGCGGTGCCTGATCAGAAGTGGCTGCAGGTCTCCGGCGCAGACGCAGAGGTGCTGGTGATCTCAGCTCTGATGAAGCTGCGGGTTTGATGGATTGCTACCGAACCCCCGGAGCGAGCGCACGTACACGTTTACTGCGAGATGGAGCCGCGCGGTATGATCTTCATTCCTCCGTTACGCTCAGCAGATGAGAAACGGACCCCTGCTGCTGGTGTTTAATGTACTTCTGAGCGTCGTGTAATAAAAGAGCTCTTTCTCAGTCCATGTGTTTGATCTAATTCCAGCCAATGGCGAGTTTCCACCTGTGGCCTCCAGCACCTCCATGATCTCCTCCAGACCCACGAGCAGGACCCCCACGCCCTCCGTCAGAAGCCCGACGGTCTCCTTCCCCACCACCGACTACTGTAAGTCTGCAGCTTTCTGCATCTGTAGCTCGCCCTGTCTCTGTGTCAGCATCACACACACACACACACACACACACACATATTTATTTATGCACTAAAGTGAGCAGCACAGTAAGTGTGCCCCCTGCTGGTGAGAGCCGTGGCTGAGTGGGAGCTGCAGAGATCTCCTTTGGCATTAAATGAAGCAGGACGGGCAGTTTTGATGTGTAAAATCTCCCAATTTGTGTCCAGAGAATGTCAGCGGAGCCAGTTACTCTGACTTGACATTTTCCATCCCGCACTCCCTAAATTCCTGCTTCAAAGGAGGAAAGACGAGCTGGGCTTCATTTTCTGTAGTTTAGGTCGTGCGTCTCAGAGCAAACCTTCAGCAGGAAGCCGTGGTGCTGCTGTCGGATCAGACGCCTCGGAGTGAGCTGGTGCTGAGACTCGTTCTCCAAACGCCATCCACGCCAACGTTAACTCGCTCGTTAAAGGTCTAAAAAAACGTCCCCGAGTCGCGAAAGGTTCTGGTTTGTTTTCAGTTTTTTCACAATCTGCTTTCTGATCTTAAAATGTCATCTTGAAGCATTTTAGCTGCTAAAGCAGCTCAGGAACGAAGATGCTGATTGTCTTTGGCAGAAACATGTAAACGGTTTCAGCCTGTATGGAGCAAAGATCCGTTTCTCCAGCTGATCTGTTTCATGATGCGTCTGTTTAAGGTCAAAGGTCAGACGTTCTAGAGAGCAGAAGTCATGGTTCAATCAGGTACAGCTGGACCAGACCATCACACTACCACCACCGTGTCTGGCTGTGTTTTAGGGTTAGGTTTAGGGTCATCAGTACCAGAAGATCACCAGGTTGTTTTTGGAAATGTGACACGAGTCTTTGCTGAATGCTGACCTCTGACCTCTACCTGAACCAGGTGAGGCCTGCAGGGCTTTAGATGTTCTGAGTTCAGCAGGACGTGTTGCTTTTTGAGATCTTCCTCCTACTTCCTGTTCTACAGAAGGGATTTTTCTTTCTACAGGTCTGGTCTGAACTGATCTTTATAAATAATCTGGTTAATCCCAGATAATCCATCTAATGAGGATGTAGTCAGATTACTGTTTCACACAGAGCTGGGGTGGTTTACGGGTTATATCTGTTATATCTTGTGAAGCAGAAGTGAATTTATTCCGACTCTGAACAGAAGTGACTCGGATCACCTGAATGATTTATGATGAACAACAAACATCCTGGTACTTTACAAGTTCTGCGCTGTCTGTTTGGACAGATGTCTCCAGGACAGAACAGACACCCCCACCCTGACATGCTCATTAGTGTCCCTCCTCCCTACTCTCTGGGACGAGAGCGGCCTCGTCTCTTTTCATTCCTACATCGCTCTCTTGTCTTTTCCGAGTCAGAAACTGCTTCCTGCCCGAATCTCCGGATGTTGTCCCAGTTTTCCCTCTCATCATCCTGGTTTCACCTTCATCCTCCTCCTCTTCCTCTTTCTATCCGTCCAGTTCTGACCCAACCCGATGCATCAGAGGCTCATTCATCCACCAACCCCTCCATCCATTCACCCACCCACCCCTCCATCATCCATTCATCCACCCACCCCTCCATCCATTCACCCACCCACCCCTCCATCCATTCACCCACCCACCCCTCCATCATCCATTCACCCACCCACCCCTCCTTCATCCATTCATCCACCCACCCCTCCATCCATTCATCCACCCACCCCTCCTTCATCCATTCATCCACCCACCCACCCCTCCATCCATTCATCCACCCCTCCTTCATCCATTCATCCACCCATGCCTCCATCCATTCACCCACCCACCCCTCCTTCATCCTTTCATCCATCCACCCCTCCATCCATTCACCCACCCACCCCTCCTTCATCCATTCATCCACCCACCCCTCCTTCATCCATTCATCCACCCACCCACCCCTCCATCCATTCATCCATCCACCCCTCCCTCCATTCACCCACCCACCCCTCCTTCATCCATTCATCCACCCACCCCTCCTTCATCCATTCATCCACCCACCCCTCCTTCATCCATTCATCCACCCACCCCTCCTTCATCCATTCATCCATCCACCCCTCCATCCATTCACCCACCCACCCCTCCTTCATCCATTCATCCACCCACCCCTCCTTCATCCATTCATCCACCCATGCCTCCATCCATTCACCCACCCACCCCTCCTTCATCCATTCATCCACCCACCCCTCCATCCATTCACTCACCCACCCCTCCTTCATCCATTCATCCTCCCACCCTCCTTCATCCATTCACCCACCCACCCCTCCTTCATCCATTCATCCACCCACCCATCCGTCCTTCATCCATTCATGGGTGGGTGAATGGATGAAGGGGGGTGAAAGGGTGGGTGGGTGAATGGATGAACATCCCTCCATCCATTCATCCACCCACCCTTCCATCCCTCCTTCATCCATTCATCCACCCACCCTTCCATCCCTCCTTCATCCATTCATGGGTGGGTGAATGGATGAAGGAGGCGAGGGTGGGTGAATGGATGAATACCCATCCATTCATCCGCCCGGGTCAGAAAACCAAGTCTTCCCCTCCTCTTAGACTTTTCAGTTCCTCTTGGAGAATCCTACGGTTTTCCTGGATCTGTCCCAAGGTCTCCTCCATAGGGAGGTGACCAGGATGCATCCTCATCAGATTCCTAAACCACCTCAGCTGATTCCTTTATGCATGAAATCATCATTTATTTATTAACTAGGTATAATTTTGGCCCTGGTTACTTAGGAAACCTGTTAATTATGATTTTTCCGTTAACAAAACTAAATCAGTAAAACTGTGTTTGCTGTCGATGCCTCGGCGCTCCGTCAGACCGGTTTTCATAACAACGTCCCACTTTCATCCACACAACAAGAGCAGCCCATGCTGCGGGATGATGATCAAAACTGGCGTCAAATCAAAGACCAGCGAGTTCGGGATTGAAGTGATGCGATTGGCCCTGACACCAGATGTTGTCCCCCGAGCGCTCCATGCCGAAAAGGAGTTTTCTGTTTGTTAATTAGCCGAACAGAGAAGATGTCATTCTGCACATCATCGTCCTCCAGTTTATTAAACCTGACCTGCGGAAATCGGCTAACTGCTTTTGGTTTTAGAGGGAACCTTTAGACGGATAACGAGACGCACGAAGGTGCTGCGTTCAAACGTGTCGGATCTGTCGGTCCAGAGAGGACAGCTGCCACGTTCTCGAGGAGAACTCGGACTAACAGGAGAACAGCGAGGAACACAAACAGGCTTCAGAATTGTGGCTTTGACTGCTAACAGTGAGTTTGTTTACCTTCTGGAGATGTTTAGGGATTATGGAACAGAGTCCAGAAGGCAGGTTTGGGTCTGATCCCCAAACGTCTCACTGCGCCGTGAGTCACCAAACGTCTTAATCATGTCTCCAACCCCTCCTCACACACATCTGCACATCAGGCTGAGATGATTTCCAGACTCCTGCATCAACTCTGATCATTTGGAGACGAAATCTGTCCCTGGATGTGTTACTTAAGACTTGTTAGGAGTTGGAAAACAAACGTTTGGAGACATTTAGGACATCCTCTCTGGCGAGCCCACTGTTGTTGCCTGTTCCAAACCAGTTTTCCCGTCCAAACCAAACGATCTGGAAAAGTCTTTTCCGTTGGAGCGAACCTGTTTGTCCATCCTGCCATGAATCGTGTCCCTGTGTGTATTTACTCTGATCTAGACAGCAGGGTTCTTCTGCTGCCCTCTTTTTGGTTCTCTTCAAACTCTGAACTCAACCTCAAAGCTCTGGTTGTTGTTTTCCTCCGTTAGAGGGCAGAACCGATCCAGGCCAGTCGTAGTCATGGCAAGTGGAAGACTTCCAGTGGAGCGTGACGAAGGCTCGGTCCATCTGTCTCTTTGGCCGTCTGTCTGTCGCACACAAATGTTCTGATGCTGCTGATCAGCCTCTTCCCCAAAGCCGGGAGCGTCTGTGTGCAAACCAACATATTGGTGTTTTAGATCCAGTTGGCCCCAAGATGGCCTTTGTTGGTCATAAAGAATTCATTTAGTTTTATTGCACCAAAACAAAATGCCGTCTGAAAGCACTTTCCATAAAGCACCATGACATGAATGAGGATGATTTCACTCTTGTTTTAGAGGGATAAAGACGGATGTGCTGCCGTCCAATCAGAGACGTTTGTCTCTTGTTCTCAGTCTTTTTCAGCGTCTCTGGAACAATTCCTCCCGGATGAACCCATTACCTCGTTTTCCGATGAAGGTCACTCCTTGTTATGATAATTTCATGCCACTGGTGACAAAGTTCACTCAAAAGGAGCTTCATCTTACCTTCATCCCTGGTCTCCCAGGGATGCACGTCTGCTACGTGTCTGCAGACCTGTTATCACCGAGGACTCTCATCTCTGAGACTGCATCTTGTTTTTGTTTGCTCTGCCAAGTGCTCGTCGCAAAAATGCTCATTCCAGCTGTGTGTGCGTGTGTGTGTGTGTGTGTGTGTGTGTGTGTGTGTGTGTGTGTGTGTGTGTGTGCACGCGCGCTCCAGTTAGCTCACTCACATTGATGGACCAACAAGATCGATAAGATGGGTTGAAGTGTGAAACCACCTGCTCTCCAGGGAGAGACGAGAGGAAAGACGGATGCAGCCAAAGACTCGTCTGTGTTTAAGGTCGAAGATTCAAGATTATTTTATATAAAAGTCATCAAACAGGATTCAGGACAGTTGACTCGTTTATTACGACGAGGACCTGCTAGACCTGAGACTTGTCTTGTTTATTCACATCACTTGGCCTTGACTCAGACTTGGTCTGACCTTCATATTCCAGTATGTTTGTCCTTAACTAAATCCTAATCCAGGTCCTAATCCAGATCCTGGATGAATGGATGAACTAAACCTTTTATAGGGAGTCTAAGTCACGCCTATCCACTTCGGGTCCCTGGAAGAATGAAAAAATGAATGCCAGTCAATGAGGCTCAACACACAGTTTTTCTAACCCTGCTTGAATTTTAAAGAAGCATTTTGATACCAAGAACACGCTTATTTTAAGTTTGTGTGAAAATAAGTCCAGGACTACAAATGCGCATCACAAAAGTGACGTCATCGAACCAGACTCGGAGAAAAACTGCGGGAAAATGGCTGTAAGTTCAGTGAACTTCAAATCCTTCCTTCAGGAGGAAAGAACCACCGTAAATCTGGTCATGTGGTACAAAGCAGCTATGCTAGGGGAGAGGAGATTATGTGGTGACGTCACATATGCGATGTGCCGATGTCTGATTTGTAGTCATGCTAATTAGGAACTTTTACAAGCTGATAAATTTCGAAGTACGTGACTGGCGTGGTCGAAACACCCGTCATTACTCTACATTCAGACTGAAGTACATCATATGTGTGACCCAGGGCCTTAAGCTTGGTTTGTGCTTGACGCATTCACTTTCCGCTTGGTGATGCGGCTCGCGGATGGAACGCGCTTCACAACTTGCAGCGTTTATGGTTCATGCGGCTCGTCTCTGCGGTGAGCCAATATTCTCCCAAACTGTAGGGGGCAGCATGGAGCTCTACGGCATGCACCCAACACTACACCATAGTAGAAGTAGAAATTACTGTTTACAACATGGCATTTCAGCATTTTTAACAGCGTCCTCGTCTTTTCCGACAGTGCGAGCTATTTCTCTCCAAGAATTATTAACAACATGTTGATCATGGTGATCTCTGAGAGCTGAATCATACAAATGTCTGTGTTTACGGACCTCTGCCATACTAGCTCTTGCCAGTCCGCCATGTTTTTCTGCGTCCGACCGTCCGCGTGGTTAGAAAATTTCCGAGGTGCGCGGTGCGGAAAGTTTGGGCCGTGCAGAGCCGCGGTGGAGGGGCGTGGTTGTTAAAATGACGCAATTTTGCCGTGCGGACCTCGCGGACGCGTCAAGCATAAACCAAGCCAGGCTCCACCACGCCTCAGAGTTTCTGATCCGCCAGCCGGAATCAGCTGTTTGGATTTGTGCTGCAGTGCATTGTGGGTAGACATCTCTTCTTTAGGGCGTTGTTTCACACGACTTCTGGTTTGTTCAATTAAACTTTTACAAATCTTTTTGTCATTTTAGAAACAAAAGTTTTCTCCTGCAAGTCTTTTCCCAAACCGCGTCATGACCTTTGACCTTTATGCCTCTAACTGAGGCTAGAGTCCAGAAGGAAGCTGTGAAAAATCTTTGGGCGAACTGTGGAGCTGTTTTGAATATTTTTTTCAGCTGTAAATAAACATTTCATATAGCAATACTTATTTTAGAGATGACCTTTAACCCCACTTCGCTTGCATTAACACACGCCTGTATGCTCCAGACCAGAGAAATGCTTTATATCCTGTGAATTTAGCAGGAATCACATTTAAATTAGATAAAATTGAGAATTTACAGAGAGATGGAGGTGATGAAGAGGCATTCTTCTTCCTCACTGAGCAACCTTAGGTCAGGATTTAGTGCTGCAGCTTCCTTCTTGTCTAAGAAGCTAATTACAGAGGAAAAGATGTTGATTAGCTCAGATGGAGGCTTGGACAGAAAAGAAGGAATGTTTGTCACCTGCGATCCTGTGGCCACGCCCCCTGCCGGTGTTATGGATATGATAATGGTAGCATGTCACATGAGGGGCTCCGGATCGGAGCTTCCATATGTGCTGCAGCGGCGTTGAGCTGAAGTGAATGACAGACAAATAGACGGGTGGCGAGTCTGAGTTGTGTTCTGAATGCAGGCAGCCCATCATCGAGGATGGAATACTAAATCTGCCTTCCTGCAGCTGCAGCTCCACAAACCTTCAAATCTTCTCTTTTTTCTTCATCTGCAGCCAAAAAGTGGATTTTTCACACCTGCGGGGCCGCCGGCCCCGAGGGCCCGACTCCCTCTCAGTGCCTCAACTCCTACAGGAACACCAACGTCAACGTGACGGTCGGCACCAGCGGGTCCTTCAAAGGCATCCAGATGTGGCGAGTCCCGGAGACCGGCACCTACAGGTAGGAGCCGTGCAGCCGGATCGGGCCGACACTTGCACACTCGAGCCGATGAGCTTTTAACAGCTACGGTTTACGGCGAACACTCGACCTCTGAGCAGCTCGTAGTTTTTACAGCCAATCAGGCTCTGCACTAACGCCCACGCTGAGCTGCAGTCCTCTACGAGCAACCAGAGGAAAATCAGCATGGAGCTGATCCGGAGTCGGAGCAGCTGAATGTCAAACCCAAAACCTCCCACTTGTGTGTCGGCGTTTAAATGTTTGAAAAAGCAACAGAACGGTTAACTTCTAGCTTACGTAGCTCTTTGCATTTACTGCTGCAGCCTTTAACGGGGATCAATATCACTCCTGTGGGCCCTCGTGAAAATATGAGCCATTTAAACTTGGATCTGACTCAGAAAAACGAATAAATAAATAAATAAAAAACGTGTCTGGAAGCTGCAAACCTCCCACATCCGCATAAAAACAAGCTCCAAACAAATATACTGCTGGGATCGGCCCGACGCCCTGAGCCGTAAAATACAACACGGTGTGTTTTAGAGGTTCAGGAGCCACACACCGACTCCTTGGCTGGTCCGGTTGTGTTCGTCTGGCAGCCGCAGAGATGAAAATGTTGTCCTCAGCTCCCAGAAGTCATCGGGCCAGCAGCTGATGTAGCTAACGCTGAACACAGAGCTCACAAACCCAAACCGACAGGAACCAAAAACATTCCAGTTCCCTAAAACCAGCTGGGATCTGGTGGCTTGTTCAGCATAAACCAAGTTCATGTCTTCTGCTGGTGTGTTTGTTTCATCCTCAGGAAGGTGACTTTTATTACACTCAGAGTGTTTTAGTGTTTACGGATTCATTTAGGCCTTTCTCACTAATGACATCACAAGGGCAGCGTCCAGAAACCCGGACAGCTCCGGGCTTTTATCAAAAACCAAACAAAACCCTGACAGCAGCTTTCTCTGGTTGAACTGCAGGATCACCGCCTACGGAGCGGCGGGTGGCCGCAGCGTCACGGCCATGAGCAGGTCACACGGTGTCTACATCACGGGAGACTTCCTGCTCAGGAGAGGCGAGCTGCTTCACGTCCTGGTGGGACAACAAGGAGAGGACGCCTGCCCCAACGTGAGTTCATCATCCAGTCAGCACAAGCTTGCTCTGAAGCCCCTCCTCCTTGTAGGTCAAAGGTCAATCGGGTTCCATCCAGTTTCTGTCGGCACAATAATTTCTCAGGAGTTGCCATGGAAACCAGCGCTAGTTTGTCTTTTCCTGTTTGCAGCATTAATTCTTACTGATTACTGTTATTACAGCAGCTGTAGAGTCCATTAGTAAATAATTCAGTAAGGTTTTCATTTAAAAACTTGTTTTCTTATATAGTTTATTAAGTTTTCCTACTGGTAGGGGTTTAATGGTGGTTTTGTTTCGTTTGAAAAGTGTTTGAAGTGTGTGGTTTCAGTGAATCTCAGCAGGCTGCAGATCCTGGAGACCAGTTATGAACGGGATTCATGAAGAAGCGTTAGAAATGTCTCCAAACAGTCCGAGTCGCTGCTCGTGTCTGTAAATTAGTTCAGGTCAGATCAGGAAGTGAAAGAAGCTTTGGTTGGAGATCAAATTAAAGGGGTTCCAGGGCGTTTTCTACAGCTGGAAACTCTTCTGGGCTAAAAAGGACCCTGGTGCACCAATAAATGGTCAAACACAGTCCCATAATAAAGACCTACAATGGAAAACTGGTTTGCCCCGCCCACTTGGACAGAACACGAATATAAAACAAGCTGTGTGCTGATTGGCTGGTTTACTCCAATGGCTCTATGGCTGTCATAAGCCAGAAGCTCTGTGTACAGCAGTGATGCGTGGTAAATGGTGTGTATTTGATATCGCGCCTTCTAGGGTTCTGCAGCCCCCCAAGGCACTTTACACACACAGCCATTCACCCATGCACCTTACATTCACACGCTGGTAATGATGAGCTGTAATGTAGCCACAGCCGCCCTGGGGCACACCGATGGAAGCGAGACTTCCGAACACTGGCGCCACGGTTCCTCCGACCACCACCAGCAGGCAACTCGGGTCAAGTATTTTGCCCAAGGACACAGCGGCTGCGACAGACTGAGCGGGGATGAACCTGCAACCTTCCGATTATGGGGTAGGCACTTTGGGCCCCCTCGAGGTGACGATGAGTGTCCGGTGGCAGTGTTCAGTATCCGGATGACTCAATAGGCCCGCTGTGGTGAATAATCCCGGAATGTTACGTGTGCGCGCTTGTCCAGCGAGGACATTAGCAGTAGCTTGTAGTAGTACCTCAAGACGACTCTTGTCGTGATTTGGCGCGATATAAATAAAGTTGAATTGAACTTGGTAGCATTAGCATCGTCACGACCAGCCTTTATGTACTGTTGACGTTGAGATGGATTGATGAGTTTAAATTTAAGATGGCGGCGCTTTTCTCAGAACGAACAGCTTGTCCGTTACGGAGGAGAGCGGGTCAGAGGCGGCACACCCTACGCTGCCTTTAATCAACAACGAGAAAACGTGGTTCCTAATTCCAGAACCCCTTTAAGATCCTTTGTGGCTAAACTGCAACAATTTGGGATGACGAGGACAACCCGGTGAGATCACGGCTTGAAGCGCCTTCATGGAGGTTGTTCAAGCAGACGCATGAGTCGTTTAGCTCGTCTGGGAGCCAGACGGGGACACTTTGTCCCTTTAGAGGCCGTGGCTTGTTACTGCTGAGCTGAATTATCTGTGTTTCATCTCGGTTTTCCCACTCGGCCACTTCCTGTTGCCGTTTTGATTCCCAAAAAAAGAGGTCCTCTCTGCTACCTTCCACTTATTAGTTTTCATCACGGGGCGTTCTAAAGCATCAGCGGAGAGGGAGTTACAGAGTTTAACTGAAACCTCACGAAGATTTCCCCTCGGAGAAGAAGAGGGAACACACACACCTCTGTGGGGTTGCTCTTTTTCTCTGCCAGGCACAAATTTAACTTCATAAAGTGTGAAAATGCAACAACCGAAGGAGCTGAGAGGGAGAGAAACCCTGTCTACCTGTCAATCACAGCCTGCCTCCTCTTCCTCCCTTCAAGAGCTTTTAGAGTTTCAGCTCAGATGGAGCGAGGGGAGGAAGCTCGTGCCCCTCAGCTCTGAGAGGAGGACAGGCTCCAGGCGGTTCAGCATGATAGCACACAGAAGGCATGAGATCTCAGCGGTGGAAGAGTCGCTGCGCTGCGCCGCGCCTGACATCATTCACCAAAAAAACGCCCAGATTCATTTCCTTAAAGAGGCTGAATCTCTGGTGAGACAGCGGCGGCTGTTTGGGTCAGAAAAACAGATTTTAGTCCTGCTTCTGGTTAATTAACGCAGAACGAGGAGAAAGTGAAAACTAAAACCAAACCGTCGCCTCCTGTGAGGATACTTCTGCTCCTGAGCTAGAAGCAGCGGCTGACATCCATGAGCAGAAACTTTTCAGCAAACGGACATCTCTCTCTCTCTCTCTCTCTCTCTCTGGCTGCAGGCCAACGCCGTGCTGAATAAGATCTGCCTGGAGCAGAGCGGCCCGTTGGTGAACAAGAGCCAAGTGAAGGGAGGTGGAGGAGGAGGAGGCGGGGCCACGTACGTGTTCAAGGTAAGATGGGAGGAGGTCCTGCAGGAGTCAGCTTCTAAACTGAACCTGCAGGAAAATAAAGATACCTGTTCTCCCACCGCCAGAGGTGTTTATTCTAGATTATAAAGAGATCAGCCGGTGTAGAGACTCAAACATTCGTTATAAATGCTGTGGACTGCTGTTCCCAAGTTTGACCACACGGTGTCGCTCTTACTTCATTCTTACATTATTCACCTTTAAAGGTTCATGGTTCACCGTAAGTTGATAAATACATAGTATTTTCTGATGTTGGCACTCTTGGCTGTTTTACGATCGGGAGCACTTACTACACCTATTACGGTAATATGCCTCCGGCATTAGAGGAAGTGTTGTTGTTTACCGTTTACTGAACGACTCATTTAAGAAATTAAAACACCACGATTGATTCATTCAATTCACACACACTGTAAAATCAAGTTGTTGGTATTAAAAAAAAAAGTGGCCTGAGCTATTTTTAGAGCTGACTGCTTCTAGTTCACCGTTAGCATTGTTAGCTTAATGTTAGCTCTAGCCTTCACCCGATATTAGAGTAAAACTAAACGGTGTCGTGGCTTCTGAAGGGTACAGGAAATAACTTCTGGGTCACTCCTGTTTACTGCTGTTGATTTTACAAAACACCCACTTAGGGCTGCAACAACGAATCGATAAATTCGATGAAAATCGATTACTAAAAGCGTTGGCAACGAATTGCGTCATCGATTCGTTGTGTCGCACAACTCTTCCAAAAGGCCCCCCCCCCCCCCCCTTCCTGCCCGCAGTTGCGCGCAGACCAGAGCAAGTCAGATCAGCGCGAGGGAGAGCCTGCAGACTTGCGCTGCTGCGAACCGGTTCCGCATTGTTGCACAGCGATCCAGGCAGCTGCTTCCAGCACACGGTCCATTCTCAAAGTGGCGCAACCAAAAAACTATAATTAGCACACGATCGTTCATGTCCGCACATATTCTCTATTTTCTGTCTTATTTGTGCCTGAAGCGCGCTACTGCGGAGCTCATCACCTGTGCTGCGGTGATGTCACCTCACGCAGCATCGAAAACGCGCTCTGCGCTTTTCGGTCAGGAGATCCCTTTGATCTGCTCAAAAGTAACTGATGAGGTGAAAAGGTAAGAATCCAGGCAACAGATTTTCTGGAGAATTATGAGGAGATGCAGGAAGATGAGAGACAGACAGGACAGGAAAATAGTTAAATAAAAACAAGAAAACAAAGTAAAATGTAGGTAGATTTATCACCACTACACGTTTTTACCAGTAAAAAACAATAAGTTATACACATGTCATATTTATACATCTGATACAATTCAGATCGCCTTCAAAACTCAGTCACACACCCAGGGCCGTTTCAAGACATTTTGGGGGCCAAGGCAAAATGCCCCCCCCCCCCCCCCATAACTGGGCTCCCCAGAAGCCTCTGTGTAATTCATGCCCTCTCCAGTAGTGTTAGTTATATGGTGTTTATAAAAGCCCCTCAGACATTACTGACATGTTCTAATATTATCAGATGAAAAACTAAATTATCAGACATGCTGTCTCATCTGCTGCTTTTATAAACCTGCTAAAAGTAACAAAACCATTTGAAAGCCACTATTTGTGGATTCTCTGAAAGTTTCCATGGAGTGTGTGACAACTTATTTTTTCATTGATCCTATCGTCTAATCTCACAGCTGAAACAAGCATCCTTAATAATCTGTGCACAGGAAGCTTACCGATGCTGTAGTAAAACAAAAGGTATAATAATTTATTATTAATAAAACCTTGTTGCAGCACTAAAGCAGAAAAATTAGATTTTGCATTAAATATGCAAAATATTTACATATGAATTGTTTTAGAGCCCTTTAATTGGCAGAATCTGATATTAATTTAGTTCTTACAAAAAATGGGTCCCAACGTGGTTTGTGTGGCGTTGCCATAGTGTGACGTCATAGGCACAGATCCCCTGTCCTCTTGTTTGGAAATGGAAATATGATCACCCAAAATTAAACAAACTGTCCACCCGGGCTTTTGCGCTGCACAGAGACGCTTCGCTGCCTACGACTTCGAATGTCAGTTGAGAGTCAGTCTCATGCAGACTGACCAATGAAGAGAGGGCCTCAAGTTAAGACCCTCTCCTCATTGGTCAGTCCACACGAGGTGGGTCAAAGGTTACTCTGGGCGGGTTACGTGTTGTCAGGCATTCAAGTATTGAGTGTATTTACTGCATATTACAGTAAAATATTCTGTATGTGACCACATTATGGTGATCCTTGGGTCGTGATGATGGAGCCCTTGAATATTGTTGCCCAGGGTACAACAAAGTGTTAATCTGGCCCTGGTTCCGCCGTCACATTCCCGCAGAAACTGGTTGATCACACCGGGGCCAGACTACTAGCATGTGGTTTTACAACCACAATGTCCTCAGAAGCAAAAACGCTTTTAAAAGGGAGGGAGGAGTCCTAACTGTTGCTGCAGGCGTGTTGTGTGAGAGTGCAGTTATATACTGGTTAATACATTTTTGGGTTCAGTTGCTTTCATGTGGCCTAATGTGAGTCTATTTGGGATCATTGGAATGATCAGCAGCATTTCTTGATGTGACTTTATGGCAGTTGCCCAGGGCATCATCGCAAGGAGGATGGCATTCATTTACTTTTGTTTTATTTGGTATTTTTTCAGTCATTTTTGGAAATAGTGATCAATTTTGATTAATTCACAGCCTATGTTTAATTACATTTAAAATAAATGTCAACAGATGAGATCAAACAAAACAGATGAGAATTGCCCTTAAGCTGTTTAACTTGGACCAAGCATTTTAGGTCACAGATAGATGTAGCTTAGGGTCTCTGTCTATACACCTTATAAGACAATTTAGGTGATGGCATGTTGTTTTTCTGCTATTGAACTGTTTTCTAATAATGTTGTGTTAAATAAAGTGAAGGAAGGAGAGAAATAACGTTTCCCAAGCAGTTTTTAAAAATTTCCCCATGTAATCCGATAAATCGATTAATCGTGTCGAGACCCCATCCGATTAATCGATTATCCAAATAATCGTTTGTTGCAGCCCTACACCCACTCGACAACTCTGCTGGCTTAGAGTGTAAACGAAGACTACGTCCCTCTTTGGCCTCCAGCATGACTGAGACATTAGACTTTAAGTTGCATATTAGTTCAGTTATTTATAGTTTAACTTCAGTTTTTAGCTTTTTTTCTTTTTAAATAACAAAGATTTTTTTTTTGCAAGTTTGATAAAACGACAAACTTTAGTAATTTTGGTGAGAAACGTTGCAACATCAAGCCATTCCTTATAGATAATCAGCTGTAACAGAATAACAATGTGTGTGATGTTGCTTCAGCTGGACGGAAACGTGCACGTGCCTCTCATCATCGCCGCCGGCGGTGGCGGTCGGGGCTACAGCAGCCAATCAGAGACTCAGCTGGAGCAGATGGACTATGACCTCAGCCAACCGGGACGCAACGGGAGGTCCAACTCTTCAGGTGTGTGTGTGTGTGTGTGCGTGCGTGCGTGTGTGTGTGTGTGCGTGCGTGCGTGCGTGTGTGTGTGAGACAGCTGCTGGAATCGCCTGCAGCTAAATGAGCGTTGTAGTGAGAGAAACCGCCTGCAGACGTTTATTTTAATCTTATTTCATTTTTATTCAACACCAGAGTCTTTAGTTGTTAAACAAACACATAACATGTTTTTCTCCATGAAATAATTTATTCATGCTGCTGTTCAGGTTCAGCAGAGAAGAAAAATATGTACCTAACATTTTCTGCTAATAGACTTTTTATTTCGAAGATCATATTTCAACCATCCAGATGTGGGACCAGAGGTGTTTAAGCCTAAAATCACATCAGAGGTTAAGAGCTTTAATTATGTTTAGGGATGTACCGATCAGGTTTTTTGCTGCCGATCACCGATACCGATATCAAAGAATGCTGATCACCGATACCGATATCAAAGAATGCTGATCACCGATACCGATCACGTGGATTGGCCAGAAATTTTCTACAACATTATAATGAGTGCTACAGACTACATAATCTGGGAATAAAGGAAATGTAACCTAATCTAAAATGGTCTGTATTAAGGTTGTCACGGTGTGAAAATTTAACCTCACGGTTATTGTGACCAAAATTACCACGGTTTTCGGTATTATCGCGGTATTTTTTTTAAACGTGCTACATTTTCACACAAGTAAATAAACCCTGTATGTCAGGAAATATTGTCCTCAGTTTGTGTCTAAATTTTGCCTAAAATGTGTTATTTTGTAATTGTGTTATTTGTTTACGTATTTCCCTTAAGTCTTTACAATACCAATATTTGCCCATAACTTCTTATTTTTTGTCTGTTTGATGTCATCACTTTAAAAATATTAGATCAGATGATACTCAGTACTCAAGTAGCCTTCTAATCAGATACTTTTTTACCCTTACTTGAGTAATAAACCCTATATCAGGAAAATATCGTCCTCGGTTTGTGTCCTTCCAGTGAGCTTTGCAGATGTGGGAAAATGTCATCAGGCAGTAATCATTGTTAAATTCATAATTATTCTCGGAGAGAGACCAACTCTTATCTGCCCCTGGGAGCCCCGTAATGCATAGCGTCATTTCAACATGGCGGTGTCCGTGACACGGTTTATATGCAGGTAGCGGCGCTGCGGCTGCTTTATATAGCGACTCGTTGCATTCTCCCTCAACCCAAATCCTCGGATCACGCATTTTAGCTAAAACGCTAACGTTAGCTTGCCTTGCGTTGACTGTAGAGTTGTGGGTGATGGTCACGCAGATGTGTCATGAGATTTGAAGCGTTGCTGCCTTTCACAGACACTTTTTCTGCACATGCTGCAAACAGGATAGCCGTCTTCTATAAGCTCCCTCGGCATTCTTCAAATATCTAAAAGATGCCAGTACTTCCGACTTTGTCTTCTTTGAAGGATAATAAATGTCCTCCTGAGCGCTGCCGTCTCCTCCTTTGACCATTATTTCAGCTTTAGCTTCAAGAAAGTTTTGGTTGTAAACAACAAAGCGCGCTTGTGCCGCCGGCAACTTCAGCAGATGATACGGTGGCTGGTAAGGGTCACCACGCCTACACCGCAGCCACGGTAAACCCACCAAGATAATATAGTTTTTAAAAAAAACAAGACGGTTATTATTGTCAACTTTTTTTTTACCGGGGTGTACCGCTACACTGGTTACCGTGACAACCCTACCTGATCGGTCTGCTTTGATCTATTTTGAAAATTCAGATCAAAACCGATAGGGGCGCTATCGGCCGATTACGATCAAATGCCGATCCATCGTGCATCCCTAATTATGTTATACTTAAAGAGCAAGTCACCCCCTACCAGATTCTTACTCCATTCCCACTTCCTGTTGAAAAATGCAACAAATGCTGTTGCCTAGCAGACCGAGAGGGCGGAGCCACTAACAAATACACACACACACAGGCTCACAACGACATTGTGACATCATATGGTACTAGCTAACGATCTAGGGTACCTCTTAGCCAATAGCGATGGCAGATATAAATTCAAATGCAGTGCAGAGTTTTTACCTGACAACGGCACAACACTGACAGTTTTAGGCAGAACATTTAAATTTTAACTTAAATGCACTAAAGTGCAAAACTATTGACGACACGTGTCTGCAGCACGACTAGCCACGCATTTATATAGTTTATCAGAAAAGAAAGTTGATTTGGGGGTGACTTGCTCTTTAAACTTTTATAACTCACTAAGTTTGTTCTCGTCTCCTTTTACAGCTTCACATGGGTGGTGTTTATCAGAGCTACAGGCTTTCAAAATAAAAGTTTAGGAAGAGCTTCTGCAGCATATGTAACCTCCTTCTAGTTAAACCACAACAGGGTGACGAGGTGTGACAACCTCTAAACCAGTCATGACTGGATCCCAGTTCCTGTTTCAGCTTCCACAGCAGTTTGCCTCACATGAAGTAAAACGTGTGTTTGACAGGGGGAGGTGGAGGCTGGAATGACAGCGCTCCTGTCAGCCAGGGCGGCAGACCGCTGGTGCTGGGAGGCCAGGGAGGCCAGGCCTGTCAGAAGTTCTGGCAGACCCGCGGTGGTTTCGGGGGCGGCGGCGGTGGATGCATGTCGGGCGGAGGCGGTGGAGGCTACAGAGGTTAGTCGGAGGAAGTTTAATAAATAACCTGTCAGGGTCTGAGTGGAGAATGTTGTGCTTTCACTTTAGGTGTAGACTGTGACACGCTGTTTATGAGTAAAATGTTCCGTTCCTCACAGATTAATAATCTGTAAATCCTCCAGTTCTACATAAATTATCATTTACAAAACAGATTCAGTCATAATTAGGTAGAAAACTAGTAGGCAACTGTGCTTTATCTCTAGATGTTAAAAATAATAAAATAAAAGAGCCCATATTCACTTATTTTATTGCACGGTGGCTCTTTAGGGTCACTCAAGAAAGTAGAGTTTAGATTAAAGTCACAACGTTTTACATTCAAAGTGTTTTTATGGGAAACCTCTGAATGTTGGGAACAAAAAAGACCAGAAGAGAATTTTAGGAATCTCTAGAGTTCATTTTAAATCAGCTCAGACGGGAAGTCCTTATTACCCACGATGCATTGGGTAGATGCTTTTAGTTCATAATAAGAAGGGAATCGTTTTAGTATCAGTTAGATTTGAACACAATAATTATCACAGGCTCCTGTAAAGTCTCATCCTTGTTTTCAGGTGGAAACACCTCCCTGCACGACAACCCGAGAGCTGACGGTGATGATGGGACGTCGTTCCTCGGCCCAGACGGAGAACCCTTCCTCTATCCTCTGAAAGGTAACGTCTGGACGGATTTAGGGCTGTACGGCAACGAGGAAAGCCGGAGGAGCAAATCTGAAGAAACAGATTTGTGATTAGATGACTGATGTGGATTTTGTCGCTGCCGATACCAATGATGATTTTTTGGGGGGGGGGGGGGGGGGGGGGGGAATCAGGACAGCTGAAAAATTCGACCATTTTTCTGTTGTTTTGACTCCTAATTAACACTTTTAGCCGCCGTCGCCCCGGGCAGCCATTAGTCTGAGACACAAACTTTGATTTTCATGCATCTGGTTCTTTTTCATCACACTTAAAACTGACTAGGTCACGTGGGGTGTGATGTCATCACTAACAACTTAGTCTTAAAATGTTGCCATGATTTAAAACTGGGACATAACAGAAGCCTTCAGAGATTTTCATCATTTATGGCAATTTAACACACAGAGATGTTTGTTAATTACTGTCTTTATCAGGAGGTTAGTAACTTTACCAGGAGTTTAGTAAATATCAGGAGGTTAGTTACTACCAGTAGGTTAGTAACTTTATCAGTAGGTTAGTAACATTACCAGTAGGTTAGTAACTTTATCAGGAGGTTAGTAGCTTTATCAGGAGGTTAGTAACTTTTTCAGTAGGTTAGTAACTTTATCAGGAGGTTAGTAACTTTATCAGTAGGTTAGTAACTTTACCAGTAGGTTAGTAACTATCAGTACGTTAGTAACTTTACCAGTAGTTTAGTAGCTTTATCAGGAGGTTAGTAACTTTATCAGTAGGTTAGTAACTTTATCAGGAGGTTAGTAACTTTATCAGTAGGTTAGTAACTTTACCAGTAGGTTAGTAACTATCAGTACGTTAGTAACTTTACCAGTAGTTTAGTAGCTTTATCAGGAGGTTAGTAACTTTACCAGTAGGTTATTAACTTTACCAGTAGTTTAGTAACTTTATCAGGAGGTTAGTAACTTTTTCAGTAGGTTAGTAACTTTATCAGGAGGTTAGTAACTTTATCAGTAGGTTAGTAACTTTACCAGTAGGTTAGTAACTTTACCAGTAGTTTAGTAACTTTATCAGGAGGTTAGTAACTTTATCAGTAGGTTAGTAGCTTTATCAGGAGGTTAGTAACTTTTTCAGTAGGTTAGTAAGTTTATCAGGAGGTTAGTAACTTTATCAGTAGGTTAGTAACTTTACCAGTAGGTTAGTAACTATCAGTACGTTAGTAACTTTACCAGTAGTTTAGTAGCTTTATCAGGAGGTTAGTAACTTTATCAGTAGGTTAGTAACTTTATCAGGAGGTTAGTAACTTTATCAGTAGTTTAGTAACTTTACCAGTAGGTTAGTAACTATCAGTACGTTAGTAACTTTACCAGTAGTTTAGTAGCTTTATCAGGAGGTTAGTAACTTTACCAGTAGGTTATTAACTTTACCAGTAGTTTAGTAACTTTATCAGGAGGTTAGTAACTTTTTCAGTAGGTTAGTAACTTTATCAGGAGGTTAGTAACTTTATCAGTAGGTTAGTAACTTTACCAGTAGGTTAGTAACTTTACCAGTAGTTTAGTAACTTTATCAGGAGGTTAGTAACTTTATCAGTAGGTTAGTAGCTTTATCAGGAGGTTAGTAACTTTTTCAGTAGGTTAGTAACTTAATCAGGAGGTTAGTAACTTTATCAGTAGGTTAGTAACTTAATCAGGAGGTTAGTAACTTTATCAGTAGGTTAGTAGCATTATCAGGAGGTTAGTAACTTTTTCAGTAGGTTAGTAACTTTATCAGGAGGTTAGTAACTTTACCAGTAGGTTAGTAACTTTACCAGGAGGTTAGTAACTTTATCAGTAGGTTAGTAACTTTATCAGTAGGTTAGTAACTTTACCAGTAGTTTAGTAACTTTATCAGGAGGTTAGTAACTTTATCAGTAGGTTAGTAACTTTACCAGTAGGTTAGTAACTATCAGTAGGTTAGTAACATTACCAGTAGGTTAGTAACTTTATCAGTAGGTTAGTAACTTTATCAGTAGGTTAGTAACTTTACCAGTAGGTTAGTAACTATCAGTAGGTTAGTAACATTACCAGTAGGTTAGTAATTTTATCAGTAGGTTAGTAACTTTACCAGTAGGTTAGTAACTTTATCAGTAGGTTAGTAACATTACCAGTAGGTTAGTAACTTTACCAGTAGGTTAGTAACTATCAGTAGGTTAGTAACATTACCAGTAGGTTAGTAATTTTATCAGTAGGTTAGTAACTTTACCAGTAGGTTAGTAACTTTATCAGTAGGTTAGTAACATTACCAGTAGGTTAGTAACTTTACCAGTAGGTTAGTAACTATCAGTAGGTTAGTAACATTACCAGTAGGTTAGTAACTTTATCAGTAGGTTAGTAACTTTATCAGTAGGTTAGTAACTTTACCAGTAGGTTAGTAACTATCAGTAGGTTAGTAACATTACCAGTAGGTTAGTAATTTTATCAGTAGGTTAGTAACTTTACCAGTAGGTTAGTAACTTTATCAGTAGGTTAGTAACATTACCAGTAGGTTAGTAACTTTACCAGTAGGTTAGTAACTATCAGTAGGTTAGTAACATTACCAGTAGGTTAGTAATTTTATCAGTAGGTTAGTAACTTTACCAGTAGGTTAGTAACTTTATCAGTAGGTTAGTAACATTACCAGTAGGTTAGTAACTTTACCAGTAGGTTAGTAACTATCAGTAGGTTAGTAACATTACCAGTAGGTTAGTAACTATCAGTAGGTTAGTAACATTACCAGTAGTTTAGTAACTTTATCAGGAGGTTAGTAACTTTATCAGTAGGTTAGTAACTTTACCAGTAGGTTAGTAACTATCAGTAGGTTAGTAACATTACCAGTAGGTTAGTAATTTTATCAGTAGGTTAGTAACTTTACCAGTAGGTTAGTAACTTTATCAGTAGGTTAGTAACATTACCAGTAGGTTAGTAACTTTATCAGGAGGTTAGTAACTTTATCAGTAGGTTAGTAACTTTATCACTAGGTTAATAACTTTATCAGGAGGTTAGTAACTATCAGTAGGTTAGTAACATTACCAGTAGGTTAGTAATTTTATCAGTAGGTTAGTAACATTACCAGTAGGTTAGTAACTTTATCAGTAGGTTAGTAATATTACCAGTAGGTTAGTAATTTTATCAGTAGGTTAGTAACTTTACCAGTAGGTTAGTAACTATCAGTAGGTTAGTAACATTACCAGTAGTTTAGTAACTTTATCAGGAGGTTAGTAACTTTATCAGTAGGTTAGTAACTTTACCAGTAGGTTAGTAACTATCAGTAGGTTAGTAACATTACCAGTAGGTTAGTAACATTACCAGTAGGTTAGTAACTTTACCAGTAGGTTAGTAACTTTATCAGTAGGTTAGTAACATTACCAGTAGGTTAGTAACTTTATCAGGAGGTTAGTAACTTTATCAGTAGGTTAGTAACTTTATCAGTAGGTTAATAACTTTATCAGGAGGTTAGTAACTTTATCAGTAGGTTAGTAACTATCAGTAGGTTAATAACTTTATCAGGAGGTTAGTAACTTTATCAGGAGGTTAATAACTTTATCAGGAGGTTAGTAACTTTATCAGTAGGTTAGTAACTTTACCAGTAGGTTAGTAACTTTACCAGTAGGTTAGTAACATTACCAGTAGGTTAGTAACTTTATCATTAGGTAAGTAGGTTAGTAACATTACCAGTAGGTTAGTAACTTTATCATTAGGTAAGTAGGTTAGTAACTTTATCAGTAGGTTAGTAACTTTACCAGGAGGTTAGTAACTTTATCAGGAGCTTAGTAACTATCAGTAGTTTAGTAACGTTATCAGTAGGTTACTAACTTTACCAGTAGGTTAGTAACTTAATCAGTAGGTTAATAACTTCATCAGTATCTGGCCACTAAACCTAGAATCCTGGCAGACTTTTTCCCTGGATAAGAGCAGAATACGAGGGCTGCATTCCATTTTGGAGGAGTTCCTCATGTGAACGTGGTTTACAGGAATAAAATCACTTTGCCAGCTACAAAAGTGGAATGTGGCCCTCGCTGACAAACATTCTTGTTGAAGTGAAAATTTCTGACTTCAGATGAGCATTTCTCCAGATGTTTCAAAATAAAAGTCTTTTCATTATTCTAAAATGTTGGCATATTAGATGGATCAGCTGATCAGTCATGTAAACATTTGGTTTTCCGCTCTAAAAATGTGAAGAACGTCATTATCAGAGGGCCTAAATGCTGATGCTGGTAAATACATTTTATAAAAGCAGAAATATCAGATTTTTTGTTGCTAATTTCTTTAAATTTTGGTGTTCTGATGGAAACTGAACCAGAAACTTTGTCTCCAACAGAAATTTAAATTTCTTTACTTAGAGAAGCAGGCAGAGGGCGGGAAAAGGAAAATGGAAGCGATGAAGGTGTTCTCAAATCATTAGAAAAGATGAAAAGTGTGTGATAAGCTGATAAATTATCATCTGATTTGATAATCTGGGCTGCCGCTCTGCTGTCTACCATCCATCATTTACTGACCTTCACTGGCATTTATGGTTCGCAGCAAGTGAGTTTTGCCAATTAATGAGATTCCCGAGCTGGGAAGAACCAGAAGCAGGAAGGAGCGGGGAAGGAAAGAAAACGAGATCAAATATCAGAAATAAAAACGTTCTGGTGCAGAGATGTCTTCCAGCTGGGCTGTTCCCATTTTAAATGCTGCAGGAAAAACTTCCGGGATTGATTTAATTCATGACAATTAAAACACATGAAATTCCTTGTTCTGTTAGCAAAACGTCTAATTTCAACCAGACTTTCTCTGGAAGAACATCCAGGATCTAATAACCTTTGAAGCCACCCTGATTCAAGATGGCTGCCACAGCTAATTAGCGTTATCCATCACAAAAAAACGAAACTCAAGCTGAAATATCGTATCAGTGCTAATGGAGAGCACTTTTTTTTCACTGTTTGACCAAAATTGCATAAGATGGTCTCATATCAGTCAACTTCTCCTCCATGTTTGCTCGGACATGTACGGAGCATCCTGCCCGCTCATTGGTCAGTGAATGAAACCTCCGTTGATTGGTCCTCGTCCGAGCGACATCGATGAAAAGTTGAAAATATTTCAACTTTCTGGGATCGCGTTGCTGGGTCGCCTGTGCACGACACGTGCACGAGCGCAAAATTTCACACGCACGTTTTTCGTGTTTCGCTTAGTAGGAGGGAGACCCGCGATTATCGCTTTGTCGCGCATGTCTCATTGAAAATGAATGGAGGAGAGGCGATGTCGCCTCCCGTGTGTCGACCCCATAACTCTTTAGACCGATGCATCAGGTGATCAACATCAGCCAAATGGAACATTATTTCATGCTAGCGCTAGTTTTTACATCCCGAGTCGGATCATTCTGGTGTCACCCGATCTGAGGACCAGAATCGGTGCATCTATAGAAACTAGACCTTTGTTCTGCTTCTATAGAAGAACAGACCCAGTAACGTCTGTGTTTAGTAAATAAATCAGAGTTCTCCCCCCCCCGACTGAACGCTAACTCGGAGGAGGAAACCTTTAAAGATGCAGAACACAGAGCCGGACTCGTTAGTATGCAGGGAGCAGCTGGACTCAGGACATTTGTATTCTTCCTCTGAAACCGTTCCAGTGTTAGATTTATGTATTTGTACTTACACGAGATAAGAGAATCATGGGAGAAAATAGATTCTGCAGATGACTGCATTGGCTTTGCTTGCTAAGCAGCGCATCACTAATTCATGCGTGGCTGCTCTGTCCCCGCTCGCGGGCTGCTGTGCACTATTAAGGCAGTTTGTTTCTCCACCAACAAACTGAGTAAACGATGTAAAAAACATGTAAAACTTAATGACAGGAAGCCGTTAATCCCAGCTGCAGTTTCCGTTCCAGAAGATGTGAACAGATAGTGTTTCTGGTTCAAACGCCGCCCATCGGTGTCGGCAGAAAAAACAAGCCAGCGAACTGCAAACACCCCGCGCTCCCGCCGAAGCAGCAGGGAATGTTAATGAAATTCAACGTTGCTTTAGAGGGCTCCGACGCAACACAAATAATCCGGTTTGGCTGCGTTTTCCATAAATATGAAGCCGACTTTGCTCCTGACAGCACTCGTCTTCCACTGAGCTGCATTTATAAATAACACGTTGTTTAATGACCTGCCTGTTTCCATTTATACACAAACTCCTTCAGCCTCATTTAAAATATTCACTAACTCATCAGTGGATGGCTTCATGAGAGGATCTCATAAACATGTTGCTCCTTTAGCAGAGAAATCAGATCGAAGCGTAACCATAACCGGTCAAATCTGCTCTAAAATACAATAAATGTGTATTTATTCTGCTGTGGGACGAATGTTTGCTGCAGCAAAACTCACCTTAGTGAGTCATCTAGGTTTGTTTTAGTCTTCGTTTAGTTACTGTCAGGTCTCTAGATGCCACGATTCCTTCCCAGGATACGGAAAACACGAACGGATCGAGGAATTTAACAAACAAAATTCCTCATCTCACAGGATTTGCAAGAACAGCCACATGATAGTTTCTGAGGTATTTTGTCTGCTGCAGCCCCCGTAGCTGTCATGAAATGTCGAATTGTTGATTCACTCTATAACTAAGGTCAATAAACATGTTTTTAGAAAGAGGAATCCGCGATATATCGGCATCAAAGTCGGGATCGGCCGGTCTCAGTCGTGATTTTATCATTAATTATCAGGCCAAGACCCCAAACTGGGGTTGTCGTGTGTGACGCAGCAAAGGATTATGGGTGTTTCACTGAAGCAGCCTAACAAGTAGGCTAGGAAAGTGTAGAGTTAACTCACACTAGAATCAACACTGTTGCCATCAGTTGTTAGATTCTGAAAATGACCAATCAGATTAACCTATGAGGCTTAGATTGTATATTAATATCCTGGATACGTATATATCGATCTAAGTTCATACACCAACCAGTTTGGTCTCATTTTAATCCAAAGATTAGCGTTTAATTTAAATAGTTAAATTTTATAGCAAAAGTTATTTTGAATCAGAAGCTAGGAATCTTTGCTTTCAAATAACCAGAAATATTATTATTATTATTATTATTTTCTGTGTTTCGTTTCAATAATGAGGCAAGTTTAAAAATGAAGAAATTTTATTACTAACAATTTTAAACTTAAAGATTTGGAACGACAATTACAAACGACAATTCATGGATGACAATTTAATGACAATTTTGAACAGCTTTGATATTAAACTTGTTTTAAAGGCAAACCTGTGGCTGGATGGAAGCTAAATTGAAAAATACGAATTTGGATGCGTGAATGGAATTATCAGAAGGTTTCTTTCAGAGGGAGAGGAAGCGTTCTGGATGAAAATGATGTTTTGCGGCTAACTGAGTCTTTCACTTAGAGAAAACAGCATCAAACGCATTCCCGTGTTCTACCTCACCCAAACAGGTGACCCTGTTGTGGATCCGGAGATCAGGAGGATGTTGTTCATCCAAGATGACACTCGGTCCGGCAGGGAAGACGCGAGTGTCCGATCATCTGGTCCAGAGATGTCGCCGGGTACACAGTTGTCGAGCGCTTGGCGGATGGACGTTCTCGTCTTAACTTAACTCAGAAATCAATAACTCTGGGTAGAGTCTTCGTTAGCTGGTTACAGTTTCGTTTATTCTTTAGCTATTCTGGTCGGCGTGACAGAACAGCAGGTGGAGGTTTTAGGGACGGCCGTTCCCTGATCCTCTGTGATGGTGGTGGGTTCACGAACTGAACGTGAAGCTGGTGATGGTTACGGTTTACAAAGCTCTCAGGACACTCCCACTCTCTCAGCAAGAAAGCTTGGTCATGCGTCAAAAACGTGTTGCAGTTATCGTTTATCTGGACTCTGTGTTAGATGGATAAGGTGGAACTGACCTTTGCCGAACACATCTTTTACTGTCATCAACCATAATCATCTTAATCATTATTATACCTAAAGCATAATAATCCATTTCATGTCATTAAAATACCTTTATATTGAACCAAGTAATCATTTATGATGATTTTCATAAACAGTAATAAAATCAAATATATTTTATTAATATTATCATTTAATTATTATCATCCTGACTTGATGTGTCCTTCTCCTGGGACGGAACAGCAGCAGATAGACGGAACAGCAGCAGATATGGATATGATCTTCCAGACATCATGGCTCCTTCATTAATCTGCAGATTTAAAAGTACTGCTTGACCCAGCTGGGTAGATATGACCTTTGCCACAAATTAGAGGACCTTTCATGATGCTACAAAAGTCAGTAACAGCCCCACATGATCTGTTTTCAACAGTACGCCGGTTGTTGCAACCGTCGTTTAGAGAGTGAGGAGACCCAACCAATATGGCGGCGACACGGTTACGCTCTCCAGCGCCCAATGGGGCGTCTATGTATTCGTGTCTATGACTAGAACTCCTTGAGGCAAAGAGTCATGTTTCCAGGAGCTGCTCCGGTTCACGCTGACCATCGAGGGTTTAACCGCTTTGATGTAAATCTGGTAAATATCCCAAAAGAGAGAGAAAACAAACACATTTAGCTTCAGTAAACAACAGCTGCATCAGACTAACGCTGCAGGAGACGAATGAAGCCTTCACATCCGTCTGAAACGGCTGTCCTACTGTAAGCAACTCCGTCTCATCTCAGATTCAGATGCTGTTTCAGTCGTTTTCTCCCGAAAGCGACGTGATGTCGTTTGAATAATGGATTCACTTCTCGTCTGCGACTCGTCCCCCATCGTCCTCAATTTGATAACATTTATTCAAGACGCACATCTCGAATTCAGGAGTTCTGCTCCGTTTTCCCTCCAGCGTGGAGTTTCTGAATCCTGATGTGTTTGTTGTTCGTTAGGCTGTGACCCGGTCAGAGGAAAACCTTTTTCCTGCAGGTTTCATCAGACGGTCGTAAACACACATTCATCATTTATTCATGTGGTCATAAGAACAGACTAGAGTTCATTAAGATGCTTTTCAACAGAAACCTTTATGTGCTGATGCAAAAAAAATCTAAATAAAAACTTAATCATTAAAAATGCATAAAATAAACTGGATTTGTATCAAAAGTTTGACACTTTTCATGTATTATGCCTGTTTTTGGCCTGTAAAAGTATAAAATACTATAGAAACTGACTCCTTAGGGCTCAGTTTAGTCCCCGTGTCTCACCAGAGATGAAAAACTCACACGTGAATAATATGGGGATGTTCTTGTTATTTTGTGATACGTTGATAGACTGTTAAGATGGAAAATGGGCCAAATACGGCCCGGAGGCCACCAGTTGATGATCAAAAGAACGATCGAATTAAAACAAGTAGGAATAGATTCTAGCTGACCTTTAAAGTGTGTTAAACCGTGTGTGTGTGTGTGTGTGTGTGTGTGTGTGTGTGTGTGTGTGTGTGTGTGTTACCTGCAGCCATGGAGGGAGACGGTGAGGTCATCATCAGCCCCGTTCAGAACTGCAGCCACTGTGAAAGCGGCGAATGCCACGAGAGCAAAGATGGCGTCACCTGTTACTGTGACGAGGAGCTGATCCTGGCTCCGGACGGCGTCTCCTGCATCAACGCTTCAGGTCTGGGAAAACCGTCTCATCAGAACCAGCAGGTGCCGCTGAGCTGGCAGAGATGACCGTTAAACAGCTAAAACTACATTTAAACGCTGATTTCACGTCAGCGGGAGGGAAAATCAGGTTTTTGTGAAGCTGGCCTGAGATAAATGACACATTCATGGACGTGGCCGAGAATAATTAATATGGCCGAGAGTTTCTCTGTGATTGGAATCAAAATAAGGTTTTTGTTGTGGTCTCGGTGCTATCTTAATAACCCCCAGAGAGCAGACCTGACGTGGGTAATGATTTCAGGTCAGAAAAGGTCAGAGTTTCCATCTGATCTGGTTGGTTTGCAGATCGGTTCCTCTGTTCAACAGGGTGAGAGGGTATTTACATGCACCAGCCGTCGCGGCTCCTCAGCACCGTTGTGCCGTCGCTTTCACGGTGTTAATGAAGTCGGCAGAGCGAATGCTAATGCTCCTCCGGGGGAGATAACCACCGTGTCACGCTGCTGTTTCCTGTTGTCTCGTAGACGTGTCGCTGCTGCCTCCACAGCCGAGTCTCTCCCACCTGGCTCTGGGTCTGTCGGTGGGCACCTCGGCCCTGATCGCCGCCCTGCTGCTGGCCGTGTCCGGAGTCATGATCAGTGAGTAGATCAGTCAGAACCAACTAAACCAGCACTGGAGCAAAGAACTACACTACCCATAATGCACAGCTGTGACTTCATACATCAGAGGATGTTTTAACAGACGCTTTCTCTACTTGCGTCTGCACTTCCTTCTTCTCAGTGACATCAAAACGCCACTGTAGATGTGAGGTTCTGGCCGGGGGTGGGGCTGTCACATGATGAATATACTTCTGGACTTATTTCGTACGGTGGCCCAGAAGGTTCAACAGAACAATAAACCCTACAAAGGAAGTGATACTGAGATTAAAATAAGAAAAAGCCTGAATTAGACCAGAACCATGAGGCTTTAACGTCAGTCGGCTCTTGCTGGATCAGCCCTCATTTCCCATCATGCATCAGTGAGCTTGTCCTCATATGACCGGACCGCTGCAGAAGTAGAAATCAAGCCGTCCAGCATCATTTCATCTTTTTAAGCTGTTTATCTGCCTTTTGTTCTGTTTTACCTTCAAGGACAAAACATTGTTTTACATCATGTCGTCCGTCAGGTGGATTACGTAGTTTTATCACCTCACCGGGACTTTAGCTGCTCATAAACCATCAATATTTACATGTTTTTGCTTCTTCTCAATGGAAGAATGCTCTTTATCTCCATCCTGGTTCCCTTCAGACTGATAAAGGATCCAGCCAATAACAACCAGACCTACACAGTCATTGAGCCATCATTTCCCACACACACACACACACTCATTTGTTGAGGAGGTGGAGAAAAACAAGGACCGAGTGTGTGAAGAATGAAAAGTGCAGGTGATGGATAGCTGCTCAGCCGTCAGCTGACGGCGCTCATACATTAGACAGCACTTTGTAAATAAACAACTCTCCTACACACACCTGAACACACACAGATAATTCTCCCTGCCACTAGTGTGTGTGTGCATGCGTGTGTGTGTGTGAGTAATACTGAGGAGGAGGAGAAGTGGTTTATTTATTCAGGATCTGTGTTTATTGTGAGCATGTAGGATTTAAATGGTAGTGTCTTAAAGATGGGGGGGGGGGGGGGTCTCAGACATTAATAATCAATCCTCAGTAGAGAACACACCTTTAGAGGCTCTGGGCTCTGTGAGTTTGTGTTGAAGTTCATTTGCTTCCCGCCAGTGTACCGCCGTAAACACACGGAGCTGCAGTCCATTCAGCTGGAGCTGCAGAGTCCGGACTGTAAGCTGAGCAAGCTGCGGGCCTCCACCATCATGACCGACTACAACCCCAACTACTGCTTCGCCGGCAAGACGGCGTCGGTCAGCGACCTAAAGGAGGTGCCGCGCCGCAACATCTCTCTCACCAGGTGAAAGTGTGTGTGTGTGTGTGTGTGTGTGTGTGTGTGTGTGTGTGTGTGTGTGTGTGTGTGTGTGTGTGTGTGTGTGTGTGTGTGTGTGTGTGTGTGTGTGTGTGGACCAACCCCTGACAGGAGACCAACGTGTGTGTGTGTGTGTGTGTGTGTGTGTGTGTGTGTGTGTGTGTGTGTGTGTGTGTGTGTGTGCGTGCGTGCGTGCGTGCGCGTGCGTGCGTGCACTTGTCTATGGGTTTGTGTGGACCAACCCCTGACGGGAGACCAACGTGTGTGTGTGTGTGCGTGCGTGCGTGCGTGTGCGTGCGTGCACTTGTCTTTATGGGTTTGTGTGGACCAACCCCTGACGGGAGACCAACGTGTGTGCGTGTGTGACCTTCTAACCCTCACCCTCAGGGTGACCCCTGGTATGATGACATCCTCAGGTCTCAGATAAAAAGCATCAAGAAAAAACTTTAGAAAGACAAATTCCATCAATCCGAGTCGGGAAGAACTCGGTGCGATGAAAAGAGAAGATGGACTGAAGGACTATTTTACTCTTTCTTCTGTACTTTTGCTTCAGAACCACGTTCAAATATCTGTTATTGTTTCACAAACAGAAACTCTGCTGTCAGATAATCCAGTTTGTGTTTTCTGACTCCTACATTTAATTTTAGCCGGGCAATAAAACGACAGCCGTGTGTTTAGAGCAAACTTTTCCTCGATCGACACGAGAGACCAGATGGTTGGAAACCTTCGATGTAGGAGCAGATGAACAGCCAATGACCGCTGCTCCTCGCTGGACCAGCTGCCTGCTGAAATATTTTTTTGTATTTGGTGTAAGGATGACGTGTGTGTGTGTGTTTGTGACAGGTGTGTGTGTTTGCTCTGCAGAGGCCTGGGTCACGGTGCTTTTGGGGAGGTCTATGAAGGCCTGGCTGTAGGAATCCCAGGAGAACCCAGTCCGCTGCAGGTGGCTGTGAAGGTGAGTCCCAACCAGCTCGGGTTGTTCTGTCTGGAAAAGCGACTCCATATAAACATCGTCCTTGTTCACCAGACCCTTCCGGAAGTTTGCTCTGAACAAGATGAGCTGGACTTCCTCATGGAGGCTCTGATTATCAGGTAAGAACCGTTCTGATCCACCTTCATCGTCGTTAATCGTTTATAACCGGCGTCTCTAACCCCGCAGCAAGTTCAACCACCAGAACATCGTGCGTTGCATCGGAGTCAGCCTGCAGGCCATGCCCAGGTTCATCCTGCTGGAGCTCATGACCGGGGGAGACCTCAAGTCTTTCCTGAGGGAGACCCGACCCCGGCTGGTGAGATGTTTCTCCACGGTGACCTGAGCTGCGTGATTTCCACGGTTTTAGAGAGAAGAAAGGTTTTCTGTTTGCTTGCTAAAACCATCAGCACAGATTCAACTCTATAAACGTGTTTTTCTCCCACGTTCGAGGTTTTAAACACTGGAATAGATCTTCATAGATGTTGGTGCTCCAGGCAGCTACACCCGGTCTTTGTCAGAAACCTCAGGATTATTCTCAAAAGGGGTTCGGGCATTCCTCCGCTGGGATCGGGATCCTCCAGGAAAAGCTGGAGCATGTTGCCAGGAGGGATGTCCGAGCTTTCCCCCAACCTCGGATAAGCGGCTGGAATCTAAGGAGGTTTTCTGTGTTTCTAAGCACACCGAGTAGATACTGGTGGAGCTTTTTTCACTGTCAACCTGTCTGATGGACATTCACACCAACGTCCTCCATCGTAACGCCTGGAGCACATGAACGCAGGTCTGAACTCAGATGTTCTGGGTAACTCTGTTTCCTCTGATGCTTTAGGACCAGCCGTCCAGCCTGACCATGGTGGACCTCCTTAATGTGGCCAGAGACATCTCTAAAGGCTGCCAGTATTTAGAGGAGAACCAGTTTATACACAGGTAGGTAGCGATGGGTACAGAATTGGGTACTTTTTAAGGTACTGACTGAATTCCATAGTACCGACTGAGCAACGATTCACGTCATTTGAAACGGTGCCTCGTTTCGGTACCCGTCCTTCATAACGAGAACTTGCCTAGACAGCTGCGCATGCGCAAGAGCGTAATGTCGTCGGTCGCTGCGAGCGAGTTGTAAACAGAGCAGCATGGTAGAAAGAACGCACGCTAAAGCTTGGGTCCACTTCACTAAATGTGATGGGTAACTGGGTGATGATGAAACCAGCGACAGACAACGATCTAAGTGAGACATCCTCATCTTAATCTGCTCCGGTAGGTAAATAAAATGTTTAAGATAACGTTAGCTTGATATGTTAGCTTCCGTTCCGCTAATAGTGCGTTCGCTTTCTCCTCGGAACTCCGAATTTCCGACTAGAAGAACATGAACGCGCTCTAAAGTTTGGCTTCACTTTACTAAATGCGACGGGTGATTGGGTGAAGATGAAACCAGCGACAACGATCTAAGTGTGAGGCATCATCGTTTTAATCTGCTCCAGCAGCTAAATAAACAGTTTAAGATAACGTTAGCTTGATAAGTTCGCTTCCATTGCCACCATTGTTATCAGCTAATGGTGCGTTCACTTTCTCCTCGGAAATTCTAACTTCCCAGTAGGAAAAATCAAATGAAAAAGGAATGAAGATACACAGTAAATTTAGTTCACAGTAAAGATGTTTGCTTCGGTTTAATTATCAGCTTATTAAACTACAAGGACGATGTTAAAATACAAACAGTTGTATGTTATTTCTCGTGATTTTATCAAATATGGTTATATGTTGAGAAAAATATATATTTAATTATAAAAGAGAATTAAAATAATAAACACTAAAAGTATCGAAAATTGGTACCGTTAAGTACCGGTATTGATTCCTAGGTACCGGGTATCAGTACCGGATCGATTCAAATGTCAAAGGTACCCATCCCTACAGGTAGGCCTCCATCTGTTCATGCTTCCGTCCAACGGGGACATACGGTCTCCACACGCTTCCTGTCTCTGCATCACGCCTTTAGCACCTGGGCAGCGGCTCGTGTTTTTACGGTCGGCGTCTCCAGACCACAAGTCGGAGAGCATGTGGGTGTTTACGAAGGCAGGTGGAGGGCGGACGGGAGGAATCTGAATCCTCACCTGAACTTGTCTCTGAAATCTTCTGAGATGAGAACTAACTCTGACCAATGCCGGTTCCACTTTTGCACCGAGACAATTTAAGTCCATCTGCCTTTCTGTGGAGGCTCCTCAGGATTAGCTGCTGACAAATGGAGCCCGTTAAAGCTTGTTTGGCCCTAAGTGCCACAGTAAAGCTCAGTCAATCTGTCTAATGTCCGAGTCTTTACTGGAGGCTTAAAATATTCCACACAACCCCATCTTCTGCCTTCAGACGTGCATTAAAACGGTCTCTAGCGCTGTCCTCGAGGCTTATTGAGTTTTATGGAGGTGTGTTTACTTGAGGTCGAGTAAAGGGCGGTGAACGAATGGAGACAGTTTAAGGAAACGCCGCGCTTCCCCCAGGATTTACTGGCTGATGTGCTCGTGTGAGTCCAGCTTTGGTGTTTCTCTTTGCTTCAGCGTTGTGCTTATTTCATTTCCTGTCTCGTCCTTTAATGAGAAAGCAGGTGTGAAGCAGGTTTGTCTTTACAGCGGCCGGTGGACCATGGATCCGGTTTTACTGGAGTAAGTCCTGCAGAGTCTGCTCGGCCTTCGGCGCCGTCCTCGTCGGGGAGCAACACGGGTTCACAGACGCTTCTCAGCCGCTGCAGAACAAAGACTCGGGTTTATATTTAGTGCCTCGTAGTGGTTCTTCTCAGAGGTGAAGCATCCTTTACGTCACACTTCCTCAGAGTGACGCTCTTCGTCCTTCATTAGTCATTCAGATGAAAACGGATCCATCTCAATCATCCCGCTGGAAGGGAAGATTTCTCCCAACGCGTCGTTTTTATTGGCTGAAACTGAACTTCTGGGGTTGTTTGGGCGACGAGCCATGAAACATTAATAACTTACGTTTTTCTGATCGTGCAGGTGGAATATATTTACCGTGAAACCCTTTAAAAACGTTTGTGTGTGACTTCGTATCCGAACGGCTGAAGGTGCAATACGTCTGTGAGCCTCTAGATGGCGCTGTTGGATAAAAACACTCCTGATTGTTGCTTTAAGCTGACGTAATTATCTGTCGCACCTTTACCTGTTCCTCCAATCGTCCATGATGACTAAAGCAGCAGATCTAAACCACATTCCAGATGTTTCATGCATTCTTTGACCTCGTCCACATTTTAGGAGAAAGTTTAGAGAAGAAAACACGTACCTGAGCCTTGGATTAGTTTAATCTGTAAGCCGTTTGTTGGGAGACTTGAGTAAACCTCGTTTGTACACCTGCTTACGCTACTTCTACCTTTTCTGTCCAGGGACATCGCAGCTCGAAACTGCCTCCTGACCTGCAAAGGGCCCGGCCGGGTGGCCAAGATCGGAGACTTCGGGATGGCTCGAGACATTTACAGGTACAGCTCCGGGGTTTCAGATTAGGATTACAGGATTATTCTACGGCAGCGTCAGAAGCGGACGCTGATGTCACTGGGACTAATTTTATTAAGCTCTGTCCCGTTAACACGACTGCCGGGAGACTACAACGAGAATCCAGAGATTGTTCTCTTGTCTTCCCGCTAACAAAATTAGCCGTTAGCTCGGTGATACTGGGCTTACTGGTGAAAGTGGCTCTTCTGTCCCTCGTCACGTCTGCAGCCCGCCAGCATCTCATCACTCTGAAATTATAGAGAACACAGTTTTAACGTGACACCGTTTAAATGAGTCCGACTCAGCAGAACCATCAGGGGAAATATGCGACAGCGTCCCGCTGTACCAACATCACCGGCGTGTTGGAGGAAAGAGCCGAACAGCAAAGTCACACACACACACACACACACACCTTGGTTTAATTGCTAATGCCAGTTTTTCAGGTGGCTTTACTGCGATTTCTGCTTTTATCTCCCAGCCCGGAGACATGGTGTCAGGATTTTATTATCTCTCGTCTGATAATCACAGGGAGGCTGGTTGTTATGGAGACAATGCCAGGAGGCTGATGGTGGGTTATTTTTACTGCTTCTGCTGGGTGACAGGAGACATGGGAGTCATCACGCGGACGGGTGTCCCAGTGAGGAGCCAGGACGACGTTAATGTCACAGCTGCGTGTTCGGGTTTTATCTGCTAGAGTTTGGGATCAAACACACTTAAGGCCAGAAGCGGCTGACTGCTGACAAACGTCTCATCCAAAAGATTTGGGACAATTCACTGTTAAAAGTCAGTAAAGAGCTGTTTACTAGACCGGCGGCGCCCCGTATCACCGTCTGGTACGGAAGCTGCAGAGGGTGGGTGAGACAGACAGGAGCTGTGATTAAGTTAAACCAAAAACATAAAAAGCGAATGTTATTAAATAATGTTTGACTTTTTATTAGAATTACAGAAGATGGATGCTGTGGCCACAAGAACACTGGAGCTCCTAGATAAACAGACTCTTTTCCCTCTCGGGGAGCGTCCACGGCCAATAACAGAAGTCCGTATTTCCCCGTTAATAGAATATATTTGAGCTGACTGAACATCCATATTCATCTCTGCTTGCCGAGCCCCTGAAGACCCACAGCTGCAGCTCCAGTTAAACTTAATTATGATTATTTACCTCCAGTTCACACCAGGAAGCTTGTTTAATCTTCCCACCTGAATTTGTAATGAAATAAATGTGAGTTACAGTAACCTAAAAAAGCCGCTTTGATGTAAATAAACATTTTATTGTTGTTTAGTCGGCGAGGCTGCTGCACGTCTCATCAGGCCTCTCGGCACAAGCGTTGGGGTTTCTTTCAGGACTCGGTCTTAGGAAGTTTAGCTCGTGTGTTTATCTCACTAACCTGGAACAGCTGCAGCTCGTCTCACATTCCTGCTTGATGTGATCGGCATTCCGACGACAAACCTAGGATTGGGAACGGGAAGTTCTCAGATGGTTGCTGACTTTACTGCTGATTATGATGACTGCAACTGGTGCTCATTTAGAGCTCTCTCTCTCTCTCTCTGTGTGTGTGTGTGTGTGTGTGTGTGTGTGTGTAGGGCGAGCTACTACAGGAAGGGGGGGCGGGCCATGTTGCCTGTGAAGTGGATGCCACCTGAGGCCTTCATGGAGGGAATCTTCACCTCCAAAACAGACACCTGGTGGGAATTCTGCACGTTTCGACAACGTCTGTGATTTCTGAGTTAATCTGTCTCTAATCCCCCCCCCCCCCCCCCCCCCCCCCCCCCACCCCCCGCAGGTCGTTTGGGGTGCTGCTGTGGGAAATCTTCTCTCTGGGATACATGCCGTATCCGAGTCGCAGTAACCAGGAAGTTCTGGAGTTTGTCACCAACGGAGGACGGATGGACCCACCAAAGAACTGTCCTGGACCTGTGTAAGTGCTGGTGACCCTAAGCGTGTCCTTATCACTGATCAAAGGCGACAAAGTGAGTTTAAAACCATAAACCTGAGTTCTGCAACAGTGGATCTGATCCCAGAGGCTGGATTCATTAGAACAGGATGTAGCTGCCAGTGGGCGGAGTTTCAAGGAAGTAGTCCTCTGACTGGTCAATATTTATGGCTAACAAATTAGCGGCTAAGTGACCTGTTCAAACATTACCGTGAGTTTGTTTCGACAGACCCCACCCACTTTTATTGACCTCACCAGCAGAATCCAGAAGATTCAGTCGTTTTAAAACTTCTCTGATGAAAGAGGGAGTTAGCCGCATGTTTTACTTATTATTGTTGAAACTGACCTGTCGTGGTTTCCCAGAGGAACCTGGATCAGATGCTACATGACCTCTGAGTAATCTCCATCCTCCACTGAAGGTCACGCTTCAGTTCCGCATGAAACAACCAGGACAGCTATTAAAGAGCAGCTCGCTGGCATTGAAGCGCCTCGTGATTTTTAACTTGAGAGGCGCTCTAGAAATGATATCTTCTTCTTCTTCTTCATTTGTTAAATAAACGGGTGAGAGTGATCTGGAGAGGCTCTGTGGTAACGGCTTCCTGCTCCGTGTTTTCCAGCTATCGGATCATGACTCAGAGCTGGCAGCACCAGCCTGAAGACCGGCCCAACTTCTCCACCATACTGGAGAGAATCGACTACTGCTTACAGGTGAGTCCTGGCACTTTCAGGTGTTTTGGTTTTGATCCACCGATGGTCGCAGCTGAAGAGACCTCCCTGTTTCAGGACCCTGATGTGGTAACCACGCTGCTGCCTGTGGAGTACGGACCTGTTCCTGAGGAGGAGGAGCAAGTTCCTGTTCACCCAGATGACCCCTCGGCTCCAGTGGTGATGGTGAAAGCCCCGGTGCCTGATGGGGAGGTGCCCCCTCCGCCCCCATCCTACCCAGGAGAAGACAGAAGGGGGGCGGGGCATGTGGCACCGGAGACGAAAGCACAGCCATCGGTTCAGCCTCAGACATGCATCCACCAGCCCCACACACACACATCTGTTGCCATAACGACCACTAACACTGTCACCTCTGCTGCCGCCCCCGCCTCACTCACTGCCAAGGCGCCACATGTCGCCAGCCAGCCGAGCTCAGAGGGAGGGCACGTTAACCTGGCCTTCGCTCAGGGCCACCCCCAGGAGAAAGAGGGCCCCAACGGGAAAAGCACCAGTCTGTGGAACCCCACCTACGGCTCCTGGTTCCTGCAGCAGCAGCGGAAGCAGCAGCAGAGGCAGGGTGGCGTGGGCGGGCCAGGTGGCAGCACCGCTAGGGTGCCGGGGGAGGGGCAGGAGCAGGTGGGCCGGACAGTGGCTGAGGTGGCGGGGGCACTGGGCCTCCAGCACCAGCAGTATCAGCACCACCTGCAGCTGCTGCACCACCAGCAGCAGCAGGATCTCTGCAGGCCGCTGCTACCGCCACCACCCCCCCCTGCTGCCCAGTCGCCTCTGCTTTTAGATTCCACAGCTCTGACCCCGGTTCCGCTCTACAGACTGAGACGGTTCCCGTGTGGGAACATCGGCTATGGATACCAGGAGCAGGGCCTGCCTCACAACACCGCCCACAGGAACACCAGCCCCCCACTACCGGCCTCAGCAGCCCTCCAGCGGGGGGCCTCCAAGCCCAGTCCGATGGCTCTGGGCCGGTCGGGTGTTTCCGAGGACAGCCGCCCGCTGCTGGTTACCATGGGAACGGTGCAGGACCCGAGGCTGCCTCGGATGGAGGGCCACAACGCCACTGTGCTTTAGCCTCGACGTTCAGCTGTCCCCCCCCCCCCCCCCCAGACATTAAAGCACATCAACTGAAAACATCAAGTAAAGGATAATTTTAAGAGTTTAAAAAAAGATGTATTTTTTCACGGTGCGAAGACGAAGCCCGAGAGGAACGATTACTTACCGAACCGGAGCGTCGGGTCCGACCGCGCTAACCTGCTGAACCTTCACACTGTTCCTACGGGAGAAATAACTTCTATCAGACTGTTTTTCAAAACCTTCACAAACTCAAACACCAGATACATTTATACTGGAGGAAGAAACGTGTTTGTTGATGTTTGCTTGCCTGCTTGTTTATTTATACATCTGTTTATTTATTATTTCTAAGTGGCACTATTAAATATTAAAGACTCACTTATTCTACATTTACTGGTTTTAACTTTAGTTGTTTATCTGAATTAACTTTTTTATTAATACCTAGCAACGATAAATCCCAAAAAAGGTAACTCAGGTTACAGATGAGTTCACTTTTGGTTCATCATCTCGTTACTTTTATTTGCATCCTGGCAGAAAAATTCATGTTTTTCTTTAAGTCTCCATGAAGCTAAATTAGCACTTTTTCTATCCCAGGATGGGTGCAAACTTTGATTTTCCTCTGAGCTTTAGATCGCCTCGACGCTCAGAAGGGCGTTCCCGTAAGCGAGGTGAAAACGGGCTGAAGAGAACTCGTTCTGTCTCCAGTGCCTGTGTTCAACCACGTTCACCTGTTTGATGTATAAACCAGCTGCACCTGTAAATGTTGTAATTTACTGTATTGTATTATGGTCAAAGCTGTACATTGCCCTTCAGACGACATTCGCCAAAATTAATAAATTACTATATAACAGCAGCGTTTGCTGGAGGTTTTCTTCCTTCTGCTGCCCTGACTCGTTTCATTTCAGAGCTGAAGGAGCAGGAAACGAGGGAACGAAAGGGCACGAGGAGGACGAGTCTCGGCAGAAGCTCACGAGAAAAATCAAACGATCCTTATAAAGATGCTGGGCTGGTTTTCGCCGACATTCAGGCTGACCTTCGCTCCAACATCGAGGGCTGAAACTCAAGGATGTTGCTTCAATACAACAAAGATCAGGACATTTTCAGCAGCTCCCAGAAACCCTCAAGGTGGTTTGTTCTTTTTGTTTTAATCCTGACCTCAGCGGGGGGAAAAAAAACAATGAAAGCCACTAAACTACTCGAATAAGAGAAACTAGAGATTCACATCACAACTACAAGTAGACTGGAGCAGAAGCAAAATGAATCTGCTCAGCACGTCGGTCAAGCAACGCTCCAGAGGAGCCTCAGAGGCCTGACCAGTCTTGTGGCCTGCCAATCACAGCCTCTGGCGGCTTGGTAAAAGCAGGATGTTACCGTGAGTGAACGATGACAGATTATTTTGAAATGGCTTTGGAATCATCTTAGGACTATTAGGACATCTGCTTTTCTTTACACATATGTAAACATATACAGAGAGACAGTGATGGCTTGCCAGGCTAGCATACCAGTGTGTGTTCTGAAATTATATTAAAAGGATAATTAAGTAGTATCAACCTAAATTCTTTTGCATGAAAAAAGCAACCTACTTCCAGTCCAGTTTGTTGACACGGCGACCACAAGTGGATGATTAGATCCATTTGTGCTATACATACTACATTATGTGTGCTAAAAATGTATAAAACTATATTATACTACAGCCAAATTAATAATCATACTAAAGAATGTGCTCCAAAAATGTATTAAAGATATCATAACTGTGCCCTAAAACTGAATTTAAATTATCATACTTTAGTATGTGTACTACAATGTATAAAAATATACTATAGTATATGTCCCAAAAATGTAAAACATATATGTGTACTAACATTTATAAAATAGCCATACTTTAGTATGTGTACTAAAATGCATACAAATATCATACTATAGTTTGTGATCTAGACATTATCATTCTATAGTATGTGAAATGGTCTGCATTTTATATAGCACCTTATAGAATCCTGAAACCCCCCAAGGTGCTTTACAACACAATCACTTATTCACACACAGGTGGTGATGAGCTATATTGTACCGGTACAACACCCACATCACTGCAGATGCAGCACCAATCCGCCTATCGATCTCACGCTCCAGTTTTCCCTCACTCGTGAACAAGACCCCGAGATACTTAAACTCCTCCACTTGGGGCAGGACCTCATCCCTGACCCGGAGAAGGCATTCTACCCTTTTTCGAATCAAGACCATGGTCTCAGATTTAGAGGAACTGATTCTCATCCCAGCTGCTTCACACTCGGCTGCGAACCGCTCCAGTGAAAGCTGAAGATCACGTTCTGATGAAGCCAACAGGACCACATCCTCTGCAAAAAGCAGAGACCTGATCCTCAGGCCACCAAAACGGATGCCCTCCACACCTTGGCTGCACCTGGAAATCCTGTCCATAAAGGTTATGAACAAAATCGGTGACAAAGGGCAGCCTTGGCGGAGTCCAACTCTCACTGGGAGTGAGCCCGACTTACTAATGGCAATGCAGACCAAGCTCTGACACCGGTCATACAGGGACCTAACAGCCCGTATTGGAGGGCCTGGTACCCCGTACTCCCGGAGTACCCCCCACAGGGCCTCCCGAGGGACGCGGTCAAACGCCTTCTCCAAATCCACAAAACACATGTAGACTGGTTGGGCAAATTCCCACGCACCCTTCAGGATCCCCCTAAGGGTATGGAGCTGGTCCAGTGTTCCATGGCCAGGACTATACTATAGTAAGTGTCCTAAAAATGTATAAATTATATATTATAGTGTGTGTCTTAAAAATATATAAATAATATCATATTATAGTACCGTAATTTCCGGACTATAGAGCACACTTCAATATAAGCCGCACCAACAAAAAAAAGGGTTTTCTACACACACGCCGCACTCAAATACAAGCCGCGGCGCAGCAGCCACATGCAGGTCTCCGGCGCACAGCGCATGTACGGCCATAACATAGGATAATTAGACAGAAAGACGCTACACGGAGGTTTTTTGTTGTTGTTTTAACTCAACAAAATGAATTTTAAACACGGGTGAACGTGCCTGCAAGTTTCGAAAAGAAAACAGCACTGATAGCATTCATATTTCTGGATGATTATAAAATAAAAAAAGCACTGACACGTTATTACCGGTAATTTGCATGTTTAGAAGAAAAGAACAGCGCTGACACAGCATTAATAAGCCCTGGATGATTAGAAAATAAAAACTGCACACAAAACATGCCTGGTTAGAAAATAAAACACACTTGCCTACCAGAAGAAGTAATTTGCTCTCATCTTCCTCTTGCGCACTAAAGCCAATAAAGTCCTCTTCTTCAGTGTCGGAGTTGAACAACCTCAGAAGAGCTTCGTCACAAACCTTTTCTGTGGTGATGTCAGTGTCGCTGACCGTGTTGCTGTCATCATCCCCGAGTGAAGCTGGCTTGAATGAGTTCTTCCCGTTGCCGTCTCCAGTGCCAAACCATGGATTCATTCATGCCAAGCTTACGTGACATACTTCAGTATGTCTTAAAAATGTAAATAAAAAAAATAGTCATACTATGCTATGTGTCCTTAAAATGTATAAAAAAAATCATACAACAGTATGTGTCTTAAATATGGAAAAATACTATACTATAGTATCTGTCCTACTATAGTATGTGTCTTAAAAACGTCTAAATAATATCATACTATAGTATGTGTCCTAAAAAGGTATAAATAATATCATACTATAGTATGTGTCCTAAAATCTTATAAATAATATCATACTGTAGTATGTATCTTAAAATGTATAAATAATATTCAATAGTATGTGTCCTAAAATGTATAAATAATATCAGTCTATCGTTTGTGTCCTAAAAATGCATAAATAATATACTATAGCAGGGATGCCCAATCCTGGTCCTGGAGGGCCGGTATCCAGCAACTTTTACATTTAGCTCTGCTTCAACACACCTGATTTCAATCAGCAGGTGATTAACAGGCTTCTGCAGAGCCTGATGGGCTGCTGCATAGGTGATTCAACCTCTGAATCAAGTGTTTTGGAGGGTAGAAGCCACAAAACCTGCTAGATACTGGCCCTCCAGGACCAGGATTGGGCACCTCTGTACTATAGTATAGATCCTAAAAAGGTATAAATAATACCATACTATAGTATGTTTCCTAAAACTTTATAAGTAATATCACACTATAGTATGTGTTTTAAAAATGTATAAATAACATTATACTATTGTACGGGTCCTAAAAATGTATACATGATTTCATGCTATTGTATGTGTCTTTAAAATGTAAAAAATATATATTATTGTATCTGTCTTTAAAAAGTATAAATAATATCATTCAACAGTGTTTGTCCTAAAATGTGTGAAAAATATCATACTATGGTATGTGTCTTAAAATGTATAAATAATATCATACTATAGTATGGGTGCTAAAAAGGTATAAATAATATCATACTATAGTATGTGTCTTAAAATGTATAAATAATATCATACTATAGTATGTGTACTAAAAATGTATAAATATCATACTATAGTATCTCTCCTAAAAATGTATAAATAATATCACGCTATAGTATATGTTCTAAAATGTATAAATAATATCATACAATAGTATGTGTCCTAAAAATAAGTGAAAAATATCATACTAAGGTATGTGTCTTAAAATGTATAAATAATATCATACTATAGTATGTGTACTAAAAATGTATAAATATCATACTATAGTGTCTCTCCTGAAAATGTATAAATAATATCATGCTATAGTATATGTCCTAAAAATGTATAAATAATATCATACTATAGTATGTGTCCTAAAAATGTATAAATACTATCATACTATAGTATGTGTCCTAAAAATCTTTAAATATCATACTATAGTATCCGTCCTAAAATGTATAAATAATATCATGCTACAGTATCTGTCCTAAAAATGTATAAATAATATCATACTATAGTTATGTGTCCTAAAAATGTATAAATATCATACTAAGGTATGTGTCTTAAAATGTATAAATAATATACTATAGTATGTGTCCTAAAAAGGTATAAATAATATCATACTATAGTATGTGTCCTAAAATGTATAAATAATATCATACTTTAGTATGTGTCCTGAAAATGTAAAAATAATTTTATACTATAGTATGAGTCCTAAAAATGTATGAAAAATATCTTACTAAGGTATGTGTCTTAAAATGTATAAATAATATCATGTACATCCAATTCACTTCAGAAAACACCCTCAAATGCACTCTGTGAGGAGTTTGCAGCCCACTTCAAAGGGAAGGTAGACACCATCAGACGGAATATTTTTACCCTCCATAAGTAATAAGGTTTTAGATAAATCTGAATGTGTGTCTATACCAGAGGAAACACTGAACAGTTTTGTCCTGGTAGAAGCTGAGACTCTTGATAAAGTTTTCTCCTCAGTGAGACCCACCACATGTGTTCTGGACCCAATTCCAACTTCGTTCTTTAAACAATTTTATGGATCTTTTAGTGATGAGATTTTAACCCTGATGAATTGCTCACTTCAGACGGGGGTCTTTCCTGCTGCCTTTAAAAGGGCAGTGGTGAGGCCCCTGTTGAAGAAGAGCAATTTAGATTTTAATGAATTAAACAATTATCGACCGGTATCCAACTTACCATTTTTAAGCAAGATTTTAGAAAAGTTGGTTTTAAATCAACTAAATGATTTTATAAACACTAATAATGTCCTAGAGAAATTTCAGTCTGGTTTTAGTGTGAACCACAGCACCGAGACAGCCCTTCTGAAGATTTTAAATGATTTTAGAGTAAATTATGATAAACAGAAGTTGACAGTGTTAGTCCTACTGGATCTAAGT